GGAATCAGCATTCCTGTATGGTGTGGTGTGTTGGAGCAGCAGCATAACAGAGAGGGAGAGAAAGAAGCTGGACAGGCTGATAAAGAAGTCCAGCTCTGTCTTGGGCTGTCCTCTGGACTCAGTACGAGAGATGGGGGACAAGAGGGTGCTGGCAAAACTCAGATCCATCCTGGACCATGAGTCACACCCCCTGCAGGACGCCTTGTCTGCTCTGGAGAGCAGCTTCGGTAAAAGACTGGTCCACCCTCGCTTTATGAAGGAGAGATACCGCAGATCTTTCCTCCCTGCTGCTGTTAGACTATAATAATCACAGCTAATAGAAGCTATACATCTATAACCTTCCACTGCAAATATAATCTTTTAGAAACATTTGCAATATAAGTACTACTCTCGTTACCATGTGCAATAATTATCTTAACTTACTATTACTATGTACTCTTGTGTGATATCTTGTGCTGCTGCTGCTGCTATCCTGCTGTACCTGAGCCATTGCAATATTGCAATTTCCCCACTGAGGGACTAATAAAGGTATTCCTATTCTTATTGTTTAATAGTCTCGCTTCGCTTAATACTTTCTGGTAAGCTGTTCCACAATTTCACCCCACATATTGACACTCCGAAACTCCCAAATGTTGTCCTTATCCTTTTTGTTTTAAAACTTAAGTTACCTCTCAACTCATAATTACCTTCTCTTTCTGTAAATAATTTTTGTATGTTTAAAGGCCCCGTGTGTGAAATCCATTGAAATCATGAGAAAATGCGACTCTTTAGCGCCATGCAGTTCAGAGAAAGTATTGCAGCTACGGTGGCTCACTCATGAGTTTGACTGTATAATCAATTTCCAACCTGTGTAGCCTAACCCACACAAAACTTAAAACAAGCTACTCGACCTTTTAAAAATATATTTATAATTATGACTGTTTATCAACCTACCAGTTCTGAACAAAGCAAGCAAGTTCAGTTCTTGAAACTGTCACAATTATCATAAGGAGGAGGGGTGACGTCAGCCGGGAGGTCAGGTGTTGTGAGAAATTGTGTTCCCCTGAAATATTCAGTCCCCTGTGTCGGGAACCGGCTCCGGACCAGGTTTCAGCTCCTCTGCCCCGCCATCACCTGCTGGAGCCTGTGGCGAGCTGCTGCGGGCCGGGCGGCTCCGACCCAGGAATGAGCTCCCCTGTCCAGCTGGGAGGGTTTCAAACACCGCAGTCACCTGCTGCAGCCTGTGGTGGGATGCTGCGGGCTGGCTCCGGCCCAGTAATGAGCTCTCCCCACCCGCTGGGAGTCTCCGGGAGACTCATACACCTGATGCTGATGAACACTCACCATCGACATACATACTGTATATGGACAGTGGGTTTCCATAGGCTCCAATAACAGTTTTTTTTTTTGCTAAAATGGGAGGTGGCCACCACCGCCATTTTGACCGTGTCACAGGTTCCGTCAAAAGGGAAGAGAGGATGAGCTGAGGGTGGGGCTGTGAGGCTGGGATCAAATGACGACACCCGGTCGAACTAGCTACAAGCTAACCTGAAGCTAACCCTGGCTAACCCAAAGCTAACGCGGAGGTAGGAGCCAAGCTAACGGATGTAGCCACCTAGCTACAACCGGAGCTAACTCTGTGGAACACCCATCAACTGCATGAGTTCAGGTGGAGGTTTGCAGCGCTTTTTCATGAAAAGTACCTTTCTGTGAATAAAAAAATATTAAATCGGTAAGTCTATAAGTTATTTCCGTATTGAAAATATATTTTGCTTTGAGCAAGTTTTCACTTTTTTTAACGTACCATATTTTTCAGCCATTAAATGTATAATGAAGAAGAAAAAAACATGTATAAGTCGTATTTTGGGGCGAAATTTTATTATTTTTCTTACAAAATCTGAGACCAAGCGTTTCACATTGCAAGACAATTACTGGTAACACTAACTGAATAATGCGCCGCAGCAGCGGGCCACGGTCTCCAGCAGAGGAAGGCGGTGTTTGAAACCCTCCCAGCGGGACAGGGGAACTCATTCTTGGGTCGGAGTCGGCCCGCAGCAGAGCGGTGTAGCCTACATAATTTGTTATATAAGTCGCTCCGGAGTAACATGACCAGCCAGACTATGAAAAAAAAGTGTGATTTATAGTCCGGAAAATACGGTAGTTATTAGTATTTGAGATAAATTAGCAGGCTAAATACATTTCATATATTTCCAAAACGTAATACTTGTTTGTATCTTGTACAGCCAACTAGCCTTTATTCTGGACTCAGTACAATTCACCAAAAGTAAAGAGACATTATACAGATGAAGTAAGCACAAGATAACTTACTGGAAGAAACAGAATTATTATCATGAGAACCAGAAAAAGAGAGCCTGATAACAGTCATGTGAAAATAACAGTTAAAAAGTTTGTATGTGTAATAGAAATAAAAATATATTAGAATTAGTGTAACTCACTGTGATCCAAACAATAAATCAGCCATAGCTGATTAGCAATCATGAAATGAGGTCTGAGAGTTTTTAAGTTTCATCCTTTTATTACATTTTTTTCTTAGATCTGTTAACTGTACCATTTTCTCTCTAAGTGTTTTTCTCCCCAGAAGCTACAACGATGTTCTGCTGAGCTGTGGTGGCCTCATGGAGGGGGCCATCGTCTAACCCCGGGTTTCCACGGGAGCCGTCAGCAGCACGTCTTGCTCGCGTAAGCTGCTGCTTGGCCCTTCCCACGAGACGCGAAGCAGCAGGGGAGCAGCTGTCACCGACAGAGCACGAAGTCACACGAGTGACTTCGTCAGTAAACACAACAACAAGCAGGAGAAAACTACAACATGGTTTGTGTTTTATGTTCTGTCCGTTTTATAATCGCCAATACGGACCTGAAAAACAAAGGAGACCGCTAGCTAGGTGATAACTTCTCACGGGGACGCACAGTTAGTAACATTTTTTAAAAGTAAAGCAACCGGAAGGCAGCACGTTCTTTATTCTGAAAATCTCGGTAGCTTCTCTCCATTTCCGCGTCTGATTTCCTGTCTTTCCTTCCCCAAAAATGTCGAGCTTGACCCGTTTCAGAGGCGTCGCGCGTAGAAAATAGAACCGGCGCGTAAAGGCCGCGACATGCTGCTCCTGAGACGCGGCCGACTCGCGCTGCTGACGGCTGCCGACAGCTCCAGTGGAAAAGGTTCTGTTGACCACAGCGGTTCCTATCAGCAGCTATGACGTGCTGCTGCAGTAACGTGCTGCTGACGGCTCCGGTGGAAAGCCGGGGTAACACACTGCTGCTAACCACTAAAACATTCTCCCTCTCCCGATAATAACTTTTTGCTTTCCTTGACGTTGGATGTGCTAATACTAGTTTATCCGTTTAATTATAGATCCACTAGGATAAATACAATAAAGTTTATCTTTCACCAAATAGAATATTTACTAAGACATCACAATATAACTATAGACACATTACATGTCTTTGTGTGTGTGTGTGTGTGTGTGTGTGTGCCTGCTCTGTCTTCTCGATCCCCAGTGAGTCGTGGAGGATGACTGCTTGTACTGAGCCAGGATTCTCTGGAGGTTTCTTCCTGTTAAAAGGGAGTTTTCCTCTCCACTGTCGCTTTATGCTTGCTTAGTATGAGGATTGCTGTAAAGTCACTGACACTAGTCAGTGACTTGATGCAATTTGCTGGGTTCCTTATATAGGAAATATTATTTCTGGTTGGCTTAATGAACTGACCTGAATTGGAATGTTTATGTGAAGTGCCTTGAGACGACTCTTGTCGTGATTTGGCGCTATATTAATGAACTTGAATTGAATTGAATTATCCTCCATTTATCATTATCGAGGTTAAATCCTCAATATATCGTGATATTGATTTTAGGCCATATCGCCCAGTCCTAGTGTGATGTCATCGGTAGGTACAGATCTCCGGTCCTCTTTTTTTGGAAATGGAAATATGGGGTGTGTCCAAATCCATGGGAAGGATGCTTGTAAGAGTGCATTTTGAGGTCGATGACATCAAAGCGCAGCGACGAGTATAAAACTGCTGAGCCAACCCAGGCGTCTGACAACAGCTGGACAAAACACGCCGTCAGCAACGTCCCCACTCCGTTTCTCCATCATCTTCCTTCGAGCTCTGACGTAGCGGTCTCGGACTTGTTTCCATTTTATTTTGCACGTCTCGGTGTCGCTTTGTAGGTTGTCACTGATCTCTCTCCAGCTGTTCTGACAAGTATACTTGCCGCTGTGCAGTGGTAACGACACATCATAAAGATGTGGATAGTTTCGAACCTGGTCGATTAGCTTTTCTTCAAAGCTTTCTGACATTTTAACACTACTGGGGTTCGCCGTCGTTGACCCCTTTACTGCATTCGGTTAAATAACACTCTACACTCCGCCTAGTGGTTACCTGTATATTGCAGCGTGCAGCTGCGTCGCGTTAATTTCAGAGGACGTGCACAAGTGATGCATCAAACGAACGCAAACTATGCAAGACAGCCATGATACTTACGTGTACGCGTTGTTAAAAGCATGTATATTTCTAGCCTAATGCTCAGGATCCATTTGCAGGTGTTCTGAATTCATCATCTGATTACAGTGACACTCTAGGTCTGGAATACTGAGCCTTTTCACAATATTCTAATTGTCTGGGATTTTCATCAGCTGTAATCCACAATCATCACAATTATAACAAATAAAGGCGGACATATGGGTTTTATATGGAATAAGTCTGAAATAAATTAACTTTTGCAAGAAATTATGATTTTTTTTAGTTTCGCTTGTGTACCTGTCCCACTTGTTTAAGTCCTAGCATGCAAATGTGTAAAATGGAAACACTGCCAGCTCATCTATGCCACTAGATAAACAGTCACTCTTTCATAGCAGGTTACTGCCCAGGAAAAACAAATAGAAGTAAGCATTATTTAAAACAGCAACATCTCGTTAAAGAAAACAGCTCTCCTATCTGATAGCTGTGTGTATATAAATAGTCTTTTTAGACTAAAATGAGTAAAAATGTTTCCAGAAACCAGACATTTTGGTGCATATTCAAATTTATTCAGAATGCATCTTGAAATAACAGGTGCATTCATTCCTACTGTGAAAGGAAAACACAAAAGCTTAGATTATGCACATCGATGACAGTTTACTCAAAACATATTAAAAAAAAAACAAGACAAGGAAAGCAGGTGAATTTTTCAGAAGGGAGCTCCATCCTGCAGAGACCTCAAGCTAAAAACTCGGCCACTTCACCAACACTATCTCTTCATCTTAGATTGTTAAGGAACAAAACTATTACTGGACATACCCGACTCAATGATGGGCGCCTCAAGAGTTGAAAGAAAACATTTTACAGCCTGTCAAGTCATGGGCTGGTCCATCCAGTGAGGAAACAAACAGCAACATGGAGGAAAAAGAAACAAACGCCTCATCTTTTCAAACCTTTGAGGCACTCGTGGTTGAGTGGAGCTTCAGTGGCACTGTGAACTAGATAAACACACATTCAGTTCAACGACCGTAGTCTTGAAACAGCAGATGATAGCACAGCAACATTAATAAACCAAATGACAATTTTCTAACAAAACACATTGTAACAGCTTTAATATCTTTTGAGCACTGGAACCTGCCGAGAACAATTCTGACATAAGCTCTTTGAACACAGATCAAAACAACAACGATCAAGAGAAATGCTGCGAGTTAAATGTCATTAAAAGAAAAGACAAAATCCAAGTTGGACACCTATTTATCCATACATAAAAATGTCGGGCTAAAATGAGCAGCTCGCTTGCTGTGGCGCTGAAAACACAAACAGACGTCTTGAACATGGGGGTGGGGGTGGCATTAGTACAGACATGATGCCCCTTCAATCTTTTTTTCACCACTAAATCTATTAGCAGGAGCTAATGGCAGTGTTCGGGGGAATTCCCTGTTCTCTGCTTTGGTGTAGGTAGTACACAGATGGAAGTGGCGGTGTTACAGGGGCACATGGCTGAACAGATACGATACAGATTCCCCATTGTGAGTCCTACGGATGGCCTCTGCAAGGATCATGGAGATGTCTATAACCTGAAAGATAAGAACATGTAAATAAATTGGTTTTTTTTTCTGTTCAAAGAATTGATCAAAAATGTTCTGACCTGTATTTTTGAGCACTGCTTCATCTTCTCCTCCTGAGGAATTGTGTTGGTGACCACCACAGCCTCAAAGCAAGCGTCGTTGATGCGCGAGATTGCAGGGCCAGAGAAGATGCCGTGGGTTAAGATGGCATAGACCTTGGTGGCACCGACAGAGATTAACCTAATGGGATAGGAATTAATATTAAATAAAAATTTGATTCTTTTAAAAGTATAAATATAGCTTTTAACCCTTTGGTGCATAATGGTCACTACAGTGGACAGGTACTCAAAATTGTTATTTATTTGTTTTTGCTATTAAGCACAGCTGTTGAAGACTTTATTGCATGTGAGCCTCTCCAGTTGGACTTCAGTAAGCCAAGCCAACATATTTCATGCTCAGAATACACGCTGTCCACTGAGGTGGACATGTAATAAATTATTTGTAAATTATAAAATTTTACAAAAAATATTTGTTGAAATTAGTTTCATTCACACCTAAATACAACTGAAAAAATTTGTTAAAAAAATCATGGTTGAAGATTTCATAATTCATGCATCAAAGGGTTAAGGAGAAATTTTACATTCATTGTGCACACTTCTAAACGTCCTGTGGGGGGTATCATTTAAAAAAAAATATAGCTTTTCATTTAAATGTCCCATTTTGTAACTTTATTGTGTTCGTGCATCACTATTGTGCTCCTGTGAAAGGAGAGCTCTACTTTGCAGATTTTGCACTGAACGTGTTTCTCTTATACTTGTAAAATGCTCCCAGACGTTTGAGCTACATTGCCAAATCGCCGTGGTCTTGATCTTCCAGTTGGTGACGCGACATCTGACCCAGATGGCCACTACTGCGCGCGCACGTGCCTCCAGCAGAAAGGCAGAAAGCAGCAGGAGGTATCGCAACAGGCAAGATTGAAAAAAATAAATAAATAAAAGACAATCTTCATAAAATAAACAATGTCAATAAATTTATTGTTGACAATTTAGTTTGCCAACATCGTCGTGATGAATCGACTGATTGTGGCAGCATAAACTTATTACAGTAAAACAAAATCTTGTTTCTCATCACCATGAGTAGGGTTGGGCATCGTTTGATTTTGAACGATTCCGATTCGAATTCCTCGTTTCGATTCCGGTTCCTATCGATTCCCGATACTGATTCTTTCAAGACATGACATGCTTTACATGAGCCAGCTAACCACAGGTCCTACTTGATGAAATAATCTTAACATGAATTTTAATTCTATAAACTATGAACAAAATATGAATCCGCACACTTCAATCTGCGATATGAGAGCTTTATTGGTCAAGCTTTCGGTCAGAGACCTTCATCAGGAGTTGTGGAGGTTCACACAAAACAGTCCTTAGTTAAACAGGTCAGTTGATGTCAAACACCTTTGTGGCGGAATACAGCAAAGCATCATGGGAAATAGAGTCTCAGTCAAAGAAACAGTGCACTTCACATTAAAAAAAATTCTAAATCAGCTCGAGAGGGGAGACATGTATACATTGCAAACATCAAGCTAAAAAAGCCATCATAAAGCAAGGCAATGAAATATATAAAAATACAGCAGCATATGATTTCTTTAAAGAAATACAGACATCTCAAAATCCTCATTTAAACCTAGTGGTTGAAGTGTTTTCAATGTGTAGATCTTGAAGTAGTTCCCTTTGGCAGTTTTTTTTACCTATATCACCTCCTCTATGTAATGAAATATGTTCAATCCCCTGGAATCTGAGTGAAGACACAGGGTAAGAAAAGTCAATGACATGGCGTGCTACTGGATAAGTCAAATCTTTTCTTCTAATTGAACTCTTATGTTCACTGATCCTCTGTTTGAGCGGCCTTGTTGTTTTTCCAATATAGACTTTTATCACAGGAGCATTTGAACAAGTAAATTACATTATTTGAGTTACAAGTAATTATGCCCTTAATGAAGAATCTTTTTTCCGTTCTAGGATGCCGGAACTCAGATGTTTTCACAGTGTTGTGGCACTGAGCACAGTTTCCACAGGGATAGTTTCCTTGCTGCAAAGGAGCGAGAATTGACTGTTTTGGAGGGCGCAGATAATTTGCTTTCACTTCTTTGTCCCGTAGATTGGGCTCCCTTTTGTAGACAAAAAGAGGTGGATGTTGGAAAACCCCTTTCAGGGCTGGATCCCCAGCCAAGATGTGCCAATGTTTTAAAATAGTTAGCTTAATTGTATATGCATGGGGGGTAAAAGTAGTGTTACAGAGTGGTGTTTTCTTTGTTTGTACTTTTTTTCAAAAGTTCAGATCTGGGTTTGGATAGTGCAGAGACATATGCTTCCTCAATACACTGATTAGAGTAGCCTCTGTCTTGAAAGTGTTGCTTCATTTCCAAACTCTTCTCCATATAGTCTTCATCCGAATGGCAGAGGCGCCTTAAAGAATTGGCGAGGAGGTGACACCATCGACATAAATATACTGGACAATTCATTTCCATAGGCTCCAATGGGTGTGTCCGAATCCACGGGAAGGATGCTTGTAAGAGTTGCGATGACGTCACAGCGCAGCGACAAGTACTGTCCGAATTCCAAGAATACTCATTCTCACGTCCTCAAACGCGTCCTCGCTCTGCCCACCTTTCGAGGACGGGTCTGTTGTATCCTCACAGAACAAGGCTATCCCAGCATGCTTTGCGCGCCAGCTGTGGATTTTCAACAGGCAGAGAAAATGGGGAGAGCTACGAAGTTTGTTAAAAGCTAGCCATAGAAACCTTAAAAGCTTAAAGCGGTTCAGTTTATAGACATTTTTCGTTTGTATATTTGTTTTATAAATTACATTTTAGGCAGAAATCAGCCAGAACGAGTTTGTATCGAGGGTCCCAGTTATTCCCGTGTGTGTGTGTGTGTGTGTGTGTGTGTGTGTGTGTGTGTGTGTGTGTGTAGCGAATTAAACTGGTCATTTGTTTTAAGGACAACGGAGCAAAGAAGCGTTTTTATTAAGCTTAGAGGTGAAGAGTGAAGCTGTTTACACACACAACCACAGAAGTTCTTCTGTGAAAAGTAGTTTTACATTCAGGGATTTACACAGCTGACATGTTATAATGAAGTAAAAAGTTTGTGTGAAGAATATAATTTTTATCTTCTCATGTGGATAAATGTAAACATGTGTTTATTGCCTTTTTGTCACCTGTGGTCTCTGATTTTCTCTGTAGGACTGCAGGTGTCCAGGGTCAGGAGAGGCTTTACCTGTCGGTCATCCTGGGAGAGAAGCCTTCTATTGTCATCATGTTAATGTTATTTAGCTGTTTGATATTTGAACACATTTATTAAAACAAATACTAACTGATAACGCTTTCTGGTCATTGATTTTATCACCAGTTTTATTATTACAGATGTTTTTGAACATGTTACATGAACAGAAAATGAAAAGATGGTAAGGAGACAAGATTATTTATAATATGTTACACTTATTTACAGATCAAAACCAGTATGGACCAGTTATGTACGGTTAAAGCAGGATTAACCTGAGTGACTCTTCCTGGATCATTTATTTAAACTGAGTGAGCAGGAAGTCTTTTACAGTGCAGCTGGATCTGCTGCAGGAGGATCCAGACATGGATGGACGGCTGGAGCAGACCCGTGGCTGGACGTTTCTGGCCAGAGGAACATCATACAGGACGGTCTGCAGAGAGAGCTTTGGGACGCTTCCTCTCACTGTCCACTCCATCGTCCATCTACAGGGACTGCTGGGCTGGCTCAGACGACGGCTGTTACATCTCTGTGAATGACTTGCCTGTTAACAATAGTGGTGGTCTGCTGGTACCTCCTGCAGGACAGAGCACCACTGACCTCCTCCACACACATCTTCCTCACACTCACCCTCCAGACCCACAACTTCACCAGCACAGAGGCAGATGTTCAGCACAGTGCATGCTGACCTGTAATAAATTAAATAAGAGTTTGTTTGTTTTTTTAATAGAAAAATGTAAAACAAAACATAACCTGCAGTACACTGATTCTGTTCAGTATAAAGAAAAGCAGCAGGGAATAGTTAAATAAAAACTACAGGGAATTTACATTTTTAAGACAGATTTAATCATTATTAGGCTTAAGTTGAATAAACAAATGCACATTGAAAACACTTCAATGCTATTTTATTAAAAGCCTGTTTTTAAAGCATTTTACCCCCATTTGATGCAAAATAAGTTCTACGGTCCAATTTACATTAGAAAACATCCTACTGCATTCAACATTTATAATGCATTTGGTTTATATTAATTACCTACATGATAATACTCTGTAGTAATGTGTTGTGTATGTTTAATAAGTTATTTCTGTAGCTTAAAACATACATGAAACCATCTAAAGTTAACATGTAAGTCCTGAAAGCTTCTAGAATAAACAAAATTACTTTACCTGAAAACGGTTGTGAACAAACGCTGCTGATGGACGTGAAGATGCTGTAGCTCCTAAATATTCCTGCTCCATTTTCGCTAGCTTTAGCATTTTTCCTTTGCGTGTAGCTGCCGCCACGGCTGTGACGGGACCTACGGGCCACCGTAGAGGTGAAGGCTAGACTGTCCGAATTCAGAGCCGCTGGGTTCCGGTTTTAGCGGTCTTAAAGGCCCCGGCCTTGCTAGACCGGCGAGGACCCGTACTCATAAGCATCCTTCCTGTGGATTCGGACACACCCAATATCACATTTTTGAGGTCAAATGGGAGGTGGCCACCACGGCCATTTTGACCGTGTCACAGGTTCCGTCAAGCGCAGACAATTCCACAAAAGGGAAGAGAGGTGGAGTTGAGGGTGGGGCTGTAAGGCTGGGATCAACTGACGACACCCGGTCGAACTATCTACAAGCTAACCTGAAGCTAACCCAAAGCTAATGCGGAGGTGGGAGCTAAGCTAACGGAGGTAGCAACCTAGCTACAACCGGAGTTAACTGTGCGCAACACCAGAGCTTCTGAGTCAGAGATACGCTGGGCTGACCGCTGGGTAAAACCGGGTGGAACACAGAGGTCTCCGAGACCCCCACAAGCCGGCAGCTGCACAGCAGATGAGCACCGCTGCGATCTGAGATGCGCAGAGCTGCCGTTGGGGAGAACCGGGTGGAAAGGTTTCCATCCCAGAGCTCCACAAGCCGGCAGCCCGCGCAGCAGACAGAGATGCGCTGAGCTGCGGGGAGGGGAGAACCACAAGCTGGCAGCCCGCGCAGCAGACAGGAGCCGCGATCAGACAGAGATGCGCTGAGCTGCGGGGAGACCCAGCCAGCAGCCCGCGCCGTTAACAGAAGCTGCTATCAGACAGAGATGCGCCGGGCTGCGGGGAGGGGAGAACCGGGTGGAAAACATCGGTCTCCCGAGAGCTCCACAAGCCGATAGTCGGAACCCAGCTCCACCAACATGTTATATTTCAACCCATTTTCTAAAGTGCAGCATTATGTTAAATGCACTGGGTTTTACCCTATTACATTTAAATTTCATGGTTAAACAGTACATGTTAAAATCTAAGCTCAGCTCGGTAGCGACCTAAAATACATAAATATAATTTTACTTACCGAAAAAAAATGAAGTGGAGACGCCTTGGACGCTCTATTAGTGCAATTAATGCCACAGCAAGTCATTTTGTCCAACAATTGCACAAATAATATCCAAAAAAGAATACACAAACACAGAGAATCAAAATGCCGGAGCAGTTTCCAAGCCAGACCGAGGCTCTACTGAGGCCTTTCCACGGAGCTAGCTCTGTGGTCATGTGGGTCTGATGCTCATTAATTATACAGAATTTTAGGCTTTTAATACACTTAAACAGAAGAGTGAGAAAAAAAATTCACCCCCCTCAGAGTTGTCATGAGTGTAAACTAGATCATTTAAACAAAAAACATGTTTTGGTACCAGGCTGTAAACATGTTTATTTCTGCTGTGAAATTGGTATTTTTAACATGGGAGTCAATGAGGATTTGCTCGCTTCTGACACCAGCCCCCAGTGGATGAGGGTGGAACTGCAATTTATGGTACTTCTGGGTTGGACCCAATTTTTGAGCCGCATTGCGGGGGCTTGGGTGATACAGATAAAAAACTCTACCAAAGGGAAATGTTCTGGATCTACACGTTGAAAACACTTCAACCACTAGGTTTAAATTAGGATTTTGAGATGTCTGTGTTTCTTTAAAGAAAGCATATACTGCTGTATTTATTTATATATTTCATTGCCTTGCTTTGTGATGGATTTTTTTTTAGCTTGATGTTTGCAATGTATACATGTCTCCCCTCTAGAGCTGATTTAGAATGTTTTTTAAAGGCCCTGTGTGTGAAATCCATTGAAATCATGATGAGAAAATGCGACTCTTTAGCGTCATTAAGGTTAGAGAAAGTATTGCAGCTACAGTGGCTCACTCATGAGTTTGATGTATAATCAATTTCCAACCTGTGTAGCCTAACTCACACAAAACTTAAAACAAGCTACTTGACCTTTTAAAAAGTATTTATAATTATGACTGTTTATCAACCTACCAGTTCTGAAGGAGGCAAGTTAGTTCTGTTCTTGAAGCTGACAGCACTCACACAGAGAGGAGGGGTGACCTCAGTCGGGAGGTCAGGTGTTGTGAGAAACAGTGTTCCCCTGAAGTATTCTGTCCCCCGTGTCGGGAGATCGCACTTCTGGCTATTTTCACAACATTTGTGATAAACTTATGGGAAAATGATGTAATGTAATGTAATAATGTTATACTTGTGATTTTTTATCTATATTTCCTCCTAAAAACAATAAAAAAGATACAGTAAAAACATTATTGTTCACTCTTTTGCAGCAAGCTTATTTATCATTTTTGAAAGTTATGTAAAAGGATGTAATCTCACTTAGTTTAACCATCTTTTATTTGAGGTAGTTTAGTCCTCATAATGGACAATAAGTTCTGTGGATTTGGAAATATTTGCTCTTGACTGCCTAAGGGAAACAGTTCAAAAAGGAAATGAAAATTTCACAACTTTGTGTGTGATTTATCATTATTATTACTTTTTGTGGCAGAAGCTGGTGTGGTCCACCACACAGAAAGCCGCTCTAGCATGATGACTTAAATTATTCTACAGGTTATTGTTCAGCCTTCTGACACTCACGCTCACACGCACACACACACACACACACACACACACACACGCGCACACACACGCACACACACACGCGCACACACACGCACACACACACACACACACACACACACACACACACACACACACACACACACACAAGTGTTGGTGAGCAGCTGCGTCTGACTGCTGACGCTCCGTGTGTGTTTTTATTTCTGCAGTGAGACAAACACCTCACGCCGTCCAGAGTTTTTTTTTTTAAAGCTTCTAATAAATCCACTGTGTTGACGTATTTAACAAGTTTCCTCTACGCTGCAGGAGTTAAAGTTCACATTACGGAGTAAAAGTTCGGCAGATGCGTTCGTTTATATTTGGCCGCTGCGTGCCGGGAGGGGGTTGGTGTGTGTGTGTGTGTGTGTTTGTGTGTGATCAACTCTGAAAAGTGTTGATCAGAATTTGCAGATCACGTTTATTTTTCATGGAGATTGGCCGCGGATTCCTCTTCCGGTCGGCATTAGGGTTGTCACGGTAACCGGTGTAGCGGTAAACCCCGGTAAAAAAGTTGACAATAATAATAACCGTCTTGTTTAAAAAAACTATATTATCTCGGTGGATTACCGTGGCTGCGGTGAAGGCGCGGTGACTCTTACCAGCCACCGTATCATCTGCTGAAGTTGCCGGCGGCACATGCGCGCTTTGTTGTTTACGACCAAAACTTTCTTGAAGCTAAAGCTGAAATAATGGCCAAAGGAGGAGACGGCAGCGCTCAGGAGGACATTTATTATCCCTCAAAGAAGACAAAGTGGGAAGTACGTGCATCTTTTGGATATTTGAAGAATGCCGAGGGACAGTTGATAGAAGACGGCTATCCTGTTTGCAGCACGTGCAGAAAAAGTGTCTGTGAAAGGCAGAAACGCTTCAAATCTCATGACACGTCTGCGTGACCATCACCCACAACTCTACAGTCAATGCAAGGCAAGTTAACGTTAGCGTTTTAGCTAAAATGCGTGATCTGAGGATTTGGGTTGAGGGAGAGTGCAACGAGTCGCTATATAAAGCAGCCGCAGCGCCGCTACCTGCATATAAACCATGTCGCGGACACCCCCATGTTGAAATGACGCTATGCATTACGGGGCTCCCAGGGGCAGATAAGAGTTGGTCTCTCTCCGAGAATAATTATGAATTTAACAATGATTACTGCCTGATGACATTTTCCCACATCTGCAAAGCTCACTGGAAGGAGACAAACTGAGGACAATATTTTCCTGATATAGGGTTTATTACTCAAGTAAGGGTAAAAAAGTATCTGATTAGAAGGCTACTTGAGTACTGAGTATCATCTGATCTAATATTTTTTATATGATGACAACAGACAAAAAACAAGAAGTTATGGGCAAATATTGGTATTTTAAAGACTAAAAGGGAAAAATGTAAACAAATAAACAACATAATTACAAAATAACAAATTTTCGGCAAAATTTAGACACAAACTGAGGACAATATTTTCCTGATATACAGGGTTAATTTAGCGGTCTGAAAATGTAACACGTTTAAAAAAATACTGCGATAATACCCAAAACCGTGATAATTTTGGTCACAATAACCGTGAGGTTACATTTTCACACCGTGACAACCCTAGTCGGCATACAAGGAATCGAAACCAGGAATCGAAATGAAAAACTTTGAACGATTCCGGGAAAAACCAAAAGTTGGTCCCGTTTCCAATCGATGCTCGATGCCCAACCCTAATCACGAGACAGCTAAATTATAAATATTTTTTATCAGACTGGCAGAAACGAGACATTTTACTAACCAAGTAATAACCACACACGCAGGCAAAACACTGCCTACTGCTGCTAGGTAAAGTCGGAGGATTATTGATTTCTAGGTTAGTTTAACTAAAGTAGACTAATTGCTTCTGCCTCCTGATCAGGGGGTAAATAAATAAAATGGCGTACTTGTCAGCTGCATGACAGATTGTCCCACATGTGTCTGCCATGTCGTCCACTAGAATAGCAACCCGATCCCTTACATCTCCGACAAGAACCATGCGGTCCACCTCATTTGCTTTTTTCCTCTCCTTGTGAATGAGGGCAAAGTCCACATTCAGCCGGTCTGCTATTGAGGTGACCCTGCAGAAGCACAGCAGAAAGTCCACGAGTCAGAGCTGATGAGTTTAAGAAAAAAAGAGCATTGTGTCTTGCAGGAGAGATAAGCTCTCCTGCCAACAAAAGCCTAATCTTCAGCAAACTTCAGAACACACACCGGGAAACTCGGAGTGGAACGCGTTTACCCAGGCTTACCTTTTGGCTCCGCCTGCATCAGGGGACACAATGATACAGTCTTTCCACTCAAGAATGTTCTCTTTGATCCATTTCAGCACAGCTGGCTCCGCGTACAAGTTATCAACGGGAATATCAAAGAACCCCTGAAACAAGCAAACAAAACAATAAGGGCTAATAATACCTTTGAAACAGGGTTTTTAGACCTTTGCCAAAAATTTAATTCAAGCACTTTTTAAGGAGAATTTAGGAATTTTTTTGCATCAAAAGATTGCCTTGAATTACACAAACATTAATACAGACATCCTCAACAAATATTTAACCCACTTGATTCACAACGGTAGACGTTGCAGTACTAAAACCAATTTCAGGACAATTTCAAACACTTTACTAGATTAAAATTCGAGTAATTTAAAGGATTTCAAGCACTTGTACAATCTATATTAAATCTGCAAAACAAGCTAGCTGACATGGGAACACTCATTAACAACGCAAACGAGATAGCGCTAAACACCAGTCGCCGTTTCCTAGGTCCAAACGCCTTTTTGTTGTCTGCGACTTCAAATGGTGTTTTTCTTTTTGGGACTCTGGTAGTTTGTCCTAAAGTTGAAGTGGTAGCAGCCGGCTGTTTCTCCTCCTCTGATATTATTGAGTGGAGAACCTCTCACACCAGAGGTGTTCAGTAGATAAATATGCAAGTGTGTAATGATTGGAGGACCCAGGGAAGTGCAGCGATTCAACGAGACCGAAAACCATATGGTCCAGTGGTTGCTTTTGGTCTGACAGCTGTTACTGGCAGGTTTTTAGACAAATGTGAGAGAACTACTTCATTTTTTGTGGGTAATCGCCACAATATATCTATGGCTATACTATGTTAGAACTTGTTAAGCAGTATGAAAAAGGTGCTTTAAGGTTGCTTGTTTTGCAGAATTGCCATTGCAGCGTTAAAAATTAGAAATAAGCAAACTGTACAAAGTGAAAATTGCTTAGATTTCCTAGTAAAAAGACTACATCAAACAGCTGACTAGAGTGCAACTTGGATAAGGCCTGCTTTCATGCATGCTCCTATAATGGCTCACTTGTATCTGAGAGGCATGCAAATCCATGGTGATGATGTGGTCCGCACCCGACACGGACAGCATGTTGGCCACCAGCTTGGCAGAGATCGGAGCGCGGCTCTGAAAGGAAAACAGATCTCTTCAGGCTCATGGAATAAATAAAGTGGCAGGCAGGCCTAAAAATAACACCCAACCAAGAGCTCAGCGATAAGAGTTCAATCACAGCAGTTGTGCTGCTATTGCTACGAATCATTTACACTCACATTTAGATAATACAAGTACACCAACACTATGGGTTTATCAAAATACATGCAGTGAGAAAATATTACAGATTAGCCATCTTCAAATAAGACAAAATGAAGAAATCTGTTTTTACAGCAATTTACATGTAACAATTAAGGCTCATCATTTAATATAGTGCTACATTAAGAACAATCCATTCATGCAATATGACCATCATGCATAAATGACCTTAAAAACACAGGAAATGAATGAAATCATAACTTCTGAGTAATCAGGTAACAACGTGCAGACTTGTGAAAGTAAAATAAGGCAGTTTTCTCCGGGATGGACGTGGCTGCAGGCTTCTTGTCATGATGCTGGGTGGCTAAATACATGACAGAAGTTAAGTAGACAGAGATCCCTCACCCCCACCTTGTCCTTCTTGTCTTGGCGGGCGTAGGGGAAGCAAGGGATGACCGCCGTGACCCTGGAGGAAGAGGCAATCTTGCAGGCGTTGATCATGATCAACAGCTCCATCAAATTGTCATTGATCTCTCCGCAGCCACTCTGCACGATGTAGACATCCTCTCCTCGCACACTCTCTCCAATCTCCACACTACAAGGGACGAAAAGTGGCAAAACAAACAGCTCTTTGAGCCACAGGCCGACCAACCCCGACAGATGAGACAGGGTAAACATTAGCTCGTGTCCATGTGATTGGTTCTGATCAATAACAATAAAGTTCGATGATTCAAAAAGTCCTGGCAACAACGTAGCTTTAGCTGAAGTCTGATCGGGTTGTTTCTTATTTTCTAAACGTGAATGTTTTACTAACATTATTTAAAGTGAAGTTATAAACCACCATATGTGGACTACAAGTTCCTAAAAACACTGCGCGGCAATTTCAGCGCCACACCACGTTTCAACGTCGCTAGCTTGCAGCATTTAACATCAACATACTGTAGAACACTTTCTATACACAGGCGAGGAAAACATGTTTACCATGTTTCTTGGTTGCTAAATTTTTTGGTTACAACCTTCCCCAATTCGAGACCCAGGCGGTCAGCTATTTTCTGAGACAGATCCGGATGAGAGCTACCACTAAATATCTTGATGTTCGGCATTTTGTTTCGGTTCGGGACCTCGTTCTGTCCGAGCGAGCTGCGGCTATCGAGTCAGAGGAAGCGAAGACTCCGAGACAACAACTGGAAATGGATCAACAGTTGATGGGCTACCGTCACCGAGCTACCTATCCTCCATTATGTCCCACACATCACGCGTGCAGCTCATCCTCCAACGGGAGCGCGCACGCTTTCATTTGCGGTTCGCCGTGATGACGTCAGTCCTCGAAGAGAACTCTGTCAGAGGAGGCAGGAGGCTGCCACTTGATAAAATGTATGTCAATTTAGCTAGAGGTGTGTTCATACGGTCTACAGCTAAATGGTTAGAGAAAGGGGAGAAAAACTACTTACTTTTTTGCTCTAGAAAAAAAAACAGGAAGAGAAACAACATTGTGGCTCTTAATATTAATGGTATAATAAACTCAGACCCTGTTATGATCGCCAATGCTACCTCATTTTACAGTAATTTGTATTCTACAAAATTTAATCAGACCAAATGTGACAGATTCTTAAATTATATTAGGATGTTTACACCTCTGATATCGGAGGCCTTTAAAGACTCTTGTGATGCTGAGCTTTTATTTTCAGAAATTACAGAAGAAGAAGAAGAAAATATCATTTCTACAGCGCCTCTCAAGATAAAAATCACGAGGCGCTTCACAAAAACAAAAAATGTAAAAATATAAAAAAGAATTTAGAAAATGGTTAAAAATATTTTTAAATGAGCAAAAAAATAGACAACTGTGATTAAAAAACGAAATGTTAAGAAAGCGAGAGAGTGAACTGGAAAGAGGGTAATCAGTGGATCCTGAGGAAGGTGGAATAGGTGGGGAGAGCAGAATAAAGAGAGAGCAGTGAAGAAGGTCATACAAAAGCCAGCTTGAACAAGTGAGTCTTCAGCTGCTTTTTAAAGGAGACCACTGAGTCCACTGATCTCAGGCTCAGGGGGAGAGAGTTCCAGAGTCTGGGGGCCACAGCAGCAAATGATTTGTTACCTTTGGTCTTTAGTCTGGTGCTGCACAACCAGTAGGCTTTGATCACTGGACCTCAGGGACCTGCTGGGGGTGTAGGGACTAAGAAGATCACCGATGTAAGATGGTGCTTGTTCATGTAAGGCCCTATTGACCAGAACCAGGATCTTGAAATGAACCCTGAAGTTGACTGGCAACCAGTGAAGCTGGAGGAGAAGCGGGGTGATGTGGGTGTGTTTGGAGGACTTGGTCAAAAGCCGAGCACAGTCATTCTGAACCACCTGCAGATGGTTCAGGGAGGTTTTGCTCAGACACGTGAAAAGAGAGTTACAGTAGTCTAAGCGTGAGGAGATGAAGGTGTGGATAACTGTCTCAAGTTCAGAGCGGGACAGAATGGGACTCAGCAATGTTCCTGAGATGGAAGAAGGAAGAGCGAACAAGAGAACTGACATGAGAATCCAGGGTGAAAGCTGGGTCAAAGGTCACGCCAATATTCCTGACAGAGGGTTTGGTGTGGGAAGCAAGCTGACCAAGAGAGTCTCTGACTTTGGGAACCAGCTTGTCTGGGGAACAGATGAGGATCTCAGTCTTATCTTCATTCAGCTGTAGAAAGCTCCCAGCCATCCAGGTTTTGATAGAGTCTAAGCAGGTGTGTAACAGCTGCAGCTTAGACATCTCATGGGGCTTAAAGGAGATGTACATTTGGATGTCATCTGCATAAAGATGGTAGGAGATTCCTTTGAAGGAGCTCAGGATGTGCTGAAGAGGAAACAGATAGAGGAGGAAGAGCAGAGGCCCCAGCACAGAACTTTGTGGGACACCATGGGTAAGGGAGGGGGTGGAGGACCTAAACTTGGAGACGGCCACAGAAAAGGAACACTCAGAAAGATAAGAGGAGAACCACTCCAGAGCAGATCCTTATGGGCCTACCCAGTCTCTCAGCCTCTCCAGTAGCAGGTGATGGTCAACAGTGTGAAAGGCTGCAGTCAGGTCCAGCAGGACCAGAACAGAACAGTCCCCTGCATCACTGTGGTTCAAAAGGTCATTAGAGACCCTAAGAAGAGCTGTTTCAGTAGAATGAGCTCTACGAAAACCTGACTGTAAGCAATCGTAGATGTTATGTTCATCAAGAGCAGCTGTGAGTTGTTTAGCCACAATCTGGATGCTGTGCTTTCAATGAAGTTAGGAAAGTCATCTGGTAGTGACGGACTCGCAGTAGAATTCTATCTTTGTTTTTGGGAATTAATTGGTAATCACCTTTTTCTGATGTTCAAAGAATATATAATTAGGCAAGAAATGACAACAACCATGAAACAAGGTCTTATAACTCTGCTCCAAGACAGATCCTTTAAAAGTAGAAAATTGGAGACCTATCTTGCTTTTAAATATTGATTACAAAATTTTATCTTTGGTGTATGCGAAAAGACTAAAAAAGGATTTAGGTGAGACAATAAGTGAAAACCAGAATGGATTTCTTTCCAAATGTCACATTAGCTCTAATATTTGACTAGTATTGGATCTAATCGATTATTCAAATTTGATAAAGTCCAATGCTTTGATGATTTTCCTAGACACGGCTGCGCAGTGGCACAGTGGTTGGAGCTGTTGTCTTGCAGCAAGAAGGTCCTGGGTTCGCTTCCCAGCCTGGGATTTTCTGCATGGAGTTTGCATGTTCTCCATGTGCATGCATGGGTTCTCTCCGGGTACTCCGGCTTCCTCCCACAGTCCAAAAACATGACTTTTAGGTTAATTGGTCTGCCTAAATTGTCCTTAGGTGTGTGTGTGTGTGTGTGTGTGCGTGTGTGTGTGTGTGTGATTGTTAGTCCTGTGTGTGTCTGTGTTGCCCTGCAATGGACTGGCTCTCTGTCCAGGGTGTAACCCGCCTGATTGCCCATAGACTGCTGGGGATAGACACCAGCCCCCCCCCCCCCCCCCCCCCCCCCCCCCCCAGCCCTGCATGGACAAAGCGGGTTCAGACAATGGATGGATTTTCCCAGACTTTTACGAGGCATTTGATTCGATTGAACACACCTTCATTTTACAAGCACTTCAAAGTCGGAGATCATGTTCTGATGAAGCCAACAGGACCACATCATCTGCAAAAAGCAGAGATCTGATCCCCTGGCCACCAAAACGGATCCCCTCAACACGTTGGCTGCACCTAGAAGTCACATCCATAAAACTCTTCTGTATATTCCCTATCCATAAAAGTTATGAAAATAATCGGTAACAGGGAGCCTTGGTGGAGTCCAACCCTCACCAGGAACAAGCCTGACTTAATGCCGGCAATGTGGACCAAGCTCTGACACTGATCATATAGGGACCTAACAGCCTGTATCAGAGGGCCTCACTTCTGAAGCACCCCCTCAGGGTCTTCTAAGAGATGCAGTCAGGTGCCTTCTCCAAATCCACAAAACACATTGTAGATTGGTTGGGCGAACTCCCACACACCCTCCAGGAACCCTCTATGGGAATAGATCAACGTCCAGGGTTCCACGGGTAGGACGAAAACCACATTACTCCTCCTGAATCCAATGTTCGACATTCTGGCGGACCCTCCTCTCCAGAACCCCTGATTAAACTTTACTAGGGAGGCTCAGAAGTGTAATCCCCCTGTAGTTGGAACACACCCTGCCATCCCCATTTTAAAAAAGGGGGACCACTACCCCCTTGCCAATCCAGTGGAACTGCCCCTGATGTTATGCGATATTGCAGAGCCGCATCAACCAACACAGCCCGATTACATCCAGAGCCTTAAGGAACTCTGGATCTCATCCACCTCTAGGACCTTGCCACCGAGGAACTTTTTGACCACCTCAGTGACCTTAGTCCCAGAGATTGGGGGGCCCAACGCTATGGAACTAGGATTGGGACAATATTACATGTTTCTTGTACTAAGCTTTGTAACTGTTAACATGTTTTGTAACTGTAACTTTCGTTTTGTAACACGTAACATTTGGTATGTAACATGAAACTTTAATTTTGTAACTTGCAGAAAACAATCAATGTTCAAGTTTCAAATCACAACTCTCAAAACACACATCTCAGTCTATAGTTACACTTAAGTCTACAAGTACAAAATATTTTGTCCCAATTCTAGCTTCCTTCCCAAAGAACCAATGACAGGCTTTGTCTGACCAGCCAATCAAATGCTTTGATGATTTTCCTAGACACGGCTGCGCAGTGACACAGTGGTTAGAGCTGTTGCCTTCCCAAAGAACCAATGACAGGCTTTGTCTGACCAGCCAATCACGAGTCTTGGATTCCTGTCAAAGACATTTCCTGTAGGAAGCAAGGTAGATTTGGGACAAAATGTTTTATAATTGCTTTAGCTTTGTAACTATAGAATGAGATTTGCGTTTTTAAAGTTGTAATTTGAAACTTGTACATAGATTTTTTCTGCAAGTTACAAAATAAAAGTGTCATGTTACGTACTGAAGTTACATGTTACAAAATGAAAATTATTGCTACAAAACTAATGTGCTACAAAATGAAAGGTATGTATTACAAAGCGAAAGTTACGTGTTTCAAAACATCAATTACATGCTACAAAAAATTACAGTTACAAAACTTGGTACAAGTTACATGTAATATTGTCCCAATCCTAGTTCCATACAACCCAAAGTCCCTGGACTCTGCTTCCTCAATGGAAGATGTGCCGGCGGGATTGAGGAGGTCTTCAAAATACTCTGCCCACAGATCCACAACGTCCCCAGTCAAGGTCATTAGCACACCAGCTCCCAATATAAACAGTGTTGGGAGTGCACTGATTTCCCCTCCTGAGGTGCTGGATGGTGGACCAGAGTATTTAATTTAATAATGGAAAATGCTCCTCTGGAAGGTTTTTAATTTTTTATTATTATTATTGTCGCTCAGCTGCTATAAACTTTTTGAATGCTACGCAATAAAACTGACAAAAATTGTTTCCTGCCAGTTTGTTTTGTGTCATATAATAGTTAAATCAACACTAAAATATGCCATAGGTGTTGAATTAAGCAGTCATACCAGTAGGAACCCTCTGCTTAAAAGGGAAGAGACTTTTCTTGGTAATTACTTTTCAAAGTGGTGTATTTTGCTTCGTCATACCAACACAAGTGCCTTCATCACAGCCAAGTTTAGTGCATGCAACGCCACTTCCAAGTCCATTGAGACTGTACATAATATACTTTATTGCTCGTAAAACATGAGTTAACTTTGTACACAGACATAAGACCACAGTGATGACAAGATCATTGACAGTGAAATAAGACAGGAATGAGTAAATGGACAGAACAAAATGGACTGGTTCATGGAAGGGTCATTGCGTGAATGAAACACAGTTACTCAGAGCAACAGAAACAATGACAACCACAGAAAAATGTTCATTAAAATGCTGAGTTGTTTGTGGCTGAAATAATTTGATATTTTGCTTATAAAAATAAACATGTCCCATGCTGTATACTCATATTATAATTCTTCAAAATATATGTTTTGCTATTAGTCTCTATGTTACATTGACACTATAAATGATTACCTCACAGATGTGTCCTATTTACAAAAATGTTAATGGTTTGGATAAATCTTATTATTACAAGGGATGTTTAAAAGTTTCTCATATACTCTTAATCATATTTACATCTTTAATGTAAAATTACACTCTTGCTCACTGTATACCATTAAAATACAGCCACACTGCACTTTCTGTTTAGCCCATGTGTACCCTTTTTAAAGAAATAAATCTACACAATAATGTCACAGCCAATGTCAGTGTTTAAGTCCCTGAAAGTTGCAAAGGAAAACATGCGTTACAGTGAGGAACAAAACCACACAAAACTGGTATGAAAATGCAACACTAAGAGTGGAAAACCAAATACTGTTAAAAGAGAGTGCTCTCAAACAAACAATTCTGAAAAGTGAAGCAAAAGTGCAACTGAAACTGATGTATTGAAGTTATTTTTAGGCTAATTTGATGAATAATCATTGTGGTTGAGATATTTTAATCCAATTTGCATAAAATGTTTGTAAATTTTGCACGATCTCACATTACCACAGAGTTTATACATTAAAAAAAGGGAATTCCTACAGTGTTTGTTACTTTAAAAACAATTACGCCAACCTAGATATTGTTCAGGCAGCTTCAAACAGATATCTCAGAAAAGATTATTCATGATTAGTATTTTCCTAGTTGTAGAAACTTTTTGAGTAACATAAGTTTGGAGAAATATAGATACATTCTGATCAAGTTAACAAGCTAACAGCTAGTCACTCCGAGTTTGGGTACAAGCAGTACCAAGTAGTTTTTTAAAACAACTTTAATCTCACAAAAAATAAAATCACAATAGCTTATTTCAATCCTATTATAAACCTTTACCCAATCAATTTTGCAATACATGTTTATTCTAAGGAAAATATTATATTCCAGGTGTTACAACACACTAAACCAGAAGTGCTACCGGTAGCTGTAGCCCTGCTGTTAATTCTATTTCAAATAACTATAACATTCAATGTAAATAATGTGAAAATTGCAGCTGTGTAAATGTTTATAAAATAGCATTTGTACGAACCGCTATGAAATAGTTGACATTAGAAATGTAATGGGAAGATGGTGCTCTAAGTTGGAACTGGTCCCACTGTGACAAGCAGTTAGATCATCAATCAATTCACAGTTAATCCCTGTTTCTCCAAACATGCGTCGTTCAAAACTATACGTTAGATAAGATATTAAGTTTTCATAACCTTTCTGCAGAATATTACTTTAAAAATTCTGATCAATCCCTTAAGTATTACAACATTTCCAAAAGGACTAATAAAAACTGCTTGCATATAAAAAATACCGTTATATATGTGGTGTTTTTACAGCACAGTTGTCACTATTAGTTTAGTTTCACAGCACTTTCTTTTAACATCGATTACACATTATAGGAGAGCACAACTCCAGGGCTTCCATGGTTAATTTTAAGGAGTGGCTAAAGGGTGAGACACAAAGAAGGTTTCAGACAAGAAATTGAGTGTCAGTTTTATTAAAATACATAGAAAACTACTTTGTGTGTTTAAATATTTGCAAGATTGCACAATGTGTATAACAGCACATAGAAAGCAGACTTGTATGTAGGATCTGGAAACCTGAATAAAAATGGGTCAAAATGAGCTTTGAGGAGATGATGTTGTCTCAAGTAAGGTTTTCAGCAGCAAGATGAATCAAAAACACAAGGAAAGACATTAAAGTATATATTTTCAACTCCAGAAGTCATTTCAGAGGTTATGCAAAATCCTATAGTCACAGGCTTACTCACTTGAATGTTTATTTAAAATAATAATTAGCAACCAATGCGATGTATTTGTGATGATGTAAAATACACAGTTTGTAATACTGATTATATTATGGGTATGTCTTCACTACAGCTGAGTGGATAAAACTGTGACTTGGGTCTCTGCTACATTGTTTGCCGTAAACAGACGTTTCATACCTGCCTTGTGAGAGAAAATTTCTGTCAGTTAGTAAATTGGAAATGGTATTCATGTCTTCCATTGCTTTTTACTTATATGTCACTAACACTTTTTGACTGATGTATCTGTAAGGGCACACACTGCCAACACAGCCAACAGCATCACAACAACTAGCAGATTCCACAAATAACCACGCCATTGTCTAAACCGCCAAGCTGTCCCGCTTACAAAAGTCGCTACTTGACAAGATCTCTGAACATGTTTTGTCCAACGCATACATTTATTTCTAATATATTATACTTCTTTATAACTCTCATACCTAAATACATTTCCAGTAGATTCCAAACTTGGTATATTATTTGCTAAGTAGACACAACTCAAATATATACTACATATAAAATTATTTACTATAATTCATTGATATTGTCAGTGTGGATGTGAGGTGATTAGCCCTGTATCACCCAGTCTTTTATAGGGTTCTTATTCCATTGTGCATTAGTTTGGTGTATCTTTATTTTTCAAAACAAGGCTACCTCAGGGCCTGTAAACATGGGATGGAACAGTTGCATTGCAATTTTTTTTACGGAGGATGATTCATTGCAGATTTATTAAAAAGTGTAAACAATAAATAAATAAGGATTTTCAATAGTGTAGCCACCCATATTTCAGCTTGATTGATTCCTATTAGACAGGCAGAGTTTTGATGGGCCGCGTGAGTGAGCTCATGTTGTTGACGTTAGAGGAAACTTGAGGGCACACAGTCTTTGTTGGCAAGCTGCTGGAGTGCCCCATGGACTCCTCTGCTGCACGCAGAAGCAAAGTGTAGTTGATAGCGACTTCCTCTACCTTCCTCAAGAGCTGAAGCCGCTGGGTTTCTGAACGAACCCCCCGGACCAATTTGATGAAGGTCTGAGTTAGTTCACACAGCACTCGAAAGCTGTCTGAGACGACAGCAAGCATACGTGTGGGGCTTTTTTCAACACTCGCCACTCTCCGACAGGATGCTCTGAACTCCTTGAAGCGCACTGCCAGATCCTGTTTGTACTCTGCAATCCGCGAGGGCTGAAGGCGAGATTCCCCTTCGGCCTGTGGACTGTTGGCGCACTGACGCAGGATTGATAGCAACTCATTAGCATCCAGCTGAGCATTCAGGAAACCATCAGGCAAGCTGAAAGATTTCCCCTGTAGAGCGTGTACCCGTGCAAGGCTCCCCTCTAGTGTACCGCAGGATCTCAGGTCAATGTCTTGTGTGTGTGGTTCTTCCTCTTCCTCCTCTTCTTCCTCTCCACTGCAGTCTTCTGCATTAAGAACTTGTAGTGTTTTGCTTACAACAGGAAAGGAACGTGAGTCCATCTCCATGCCTGGAAGGACCTGAAGTGGTATGGAGTATGAGACTTCATCTTTTTCACTGCTTTCATCTGCAGCCTCACACTTCCTGTAACAGAAACAGAATGAGCAACATTTGTCTTTGTCATCACTGTCTTCACTAGGCAAGGTAAGCAACACTTCCCCAGGCCCTTCTTTGCTCTCACGCAGGAGTTCCTCTCCCTGAATGAAAAGCACTCCTTTCTTTCCTTTCCCCTCTGCCTGATGAGACCGTGTGTGAACTGGTTCTACTGGGGTAGGGAGTCGTAGTCCTGTTGCCCTCACTTTCTCCATCTCCTTCTCCAGACTTTTGGTTTTCGGCTTCACTTCAGCGTACACAGGTGTACTAGTGCTGTTATCCAACTCGCCAATACTGTATCGTCTCTGCAGCTTCTTGTATTGAGGACCTCCCATGCAGTCGGTCTCAGAAGTACAGGCGGGCAAGCAGGACCTCTGCTCTCCTCTTGGCTCTCTTGACTCAAGGCTAGTAGATCGTATTCGTGTGGTCTTGATCTCTAAGGTCTGAGGTCTTCTTGTGGCTCCTTCGGCATGAGGGACTTTAGAGGCTAATGGTGGGGTCTTGGAGATAGTTCTCTCTCTGCCTCTAGTTTTTGTCTCTGGTGTGCTGCCAACAGGTGTGTCAGGTAGTCTCATGCCCCTACACATTCTCTTACAGTCACAACTGCGTCGCTGCTCCCTGGAGATCCCTGGGGCCTTAAGGACAGGACTGGTACGAAGCTGGCAGGCACAAGGGGTGCCTGAGGGCACTGGTGACGATCCTTGGGGCAAAAATTCTCCCTGGGATGACTTGGGTTTTAGCAGCTCCTCTAAGAACTCTAGCTCATACTGGCGAACTTTTTGCAACTGAGCCCTTCGCTCATCAGTTTCCCTTCTCATTCGGGCTGGAAATGTTGCTGAAAGAAGGTTTCTGAAGCTCAAGAAAGGAGCACTGCGCTGGGACTTCCCCTTACCATTACCCTGCTTCTTTGAATCTATGTCAGGCAGCGTGGAAACCTTTTCTACTGAGGGGCTTGGTGTAGTCAGATCATCTAAAATAGGTAATGATATTACTGGGCATTTCTGTGACTCATGGAGGGACTTTCCCTGGGTGCTCTCAGACTTGTTTTCGGATGTCTCCTTTCTTTCAGACTTAGCAGGCAAATGAGGGGAGAACTTAGCTTGTATTTGTGGACTTGGTTTGGCCAAAGTCTGATCAGTCACTGGTCTTGCAGCATTTTCTTTGCCGTTTGCCAGCTGGAGACCTTTGGCTCGAAGACGCTCATCATCAGTAGGAGAAGACGACTGAAACACCACTATCTTCTGAAGCTGTGGATCCTTTAGCTTTAGTTGGGTTTCAGGCTCCTTTTGCACTGGACAAGTGCAGAAAAGATCATCAACTGGCAGAATCTCTGTAAAGCTTGAAGGCTTCATGGTCTCACTAGAGGCAGTCTTGGCATTTTGGCACATATTAGTGGGCGAGATCTTGGCAGAGACAATAGTGTCCACAGGCAAAATTTTAGGTAAGGCTTTGCTTATTGTGTCTGCATGAAGAGGTGCTGCTGTCTTCACCTTAACACCATCTGGGAGATTTAGACTTTGCATTTCCCCAGAGCAGTTTGATAAATTCTGGTCAGTACTGACTTGAACTGACAGTGAAGCGTCAGACACTTTAAGCTCCTCAGGTGGCTTAATAGAGGGATCAAGGTTGTTTGCTTTGGCAGACTCAGAGATTGCTTTTAATTCTGCTTTTGATTCAGTCTGAGCAGTGCCCTGATTGTCCCCTTGCTCTGTCACAACACTCAGTATTGCTGAATCTGGGCTGGGATGGCTGACTTTAAAGGGAACAGTCTTGCTGAGGATTACTTGCTTGGGTGGGCAGCCAGCACGGATCTGACCCACAGAAAAGGCCCCAGTTCCTATAGTCTTTGCAGTGCAGCCAGGAATAGCCAGGGGGAAGTCTCGACGACAAAGAATACGCTCCTTGTTTATATGATGAGCAAGCAGATAAGTCTGGTTTTGGTTTTGCTTCATTGCTGACACCATCTCAGAAACATCAGTCAGTTCAGAGGAGTTGGTCTCATGACCTGAATCCAACGATGACTCAGGTGTTATCGCAGCTAAGACAATCAGTCCTGAGAAAGACAAAATAAATAAATAAATAAAAAACAGCACAATTAATACACTTAAGAAATGATAAATATTACAGAATTTACTGATTGTGGTCAGAAATATTAGATCATTTGTACTCTGTTTAAATGTTTTTACAAAGTAAGTTGTGGGTTAAATTTATGAATTTGGGATTCTTCACCCGTTCTCACTCTGTTTTGCTTGTTTTTGACATTTCATTAAGAAACACAAAACGATGATGGCTTTTCTTCTTGTAAAAGTACGAGATATGATGCATCATTTTCAAGTAAACTCAACTGGTAATCTTGTTTGGCACATTAACAACAAAAGTCATTGCCATTTTTAAACGTGTCTTGCTTTAGTAATTAGAAAAGAACGACTAATGCAAGTGTTCTTTGTATTTGCTATACACCACTGTTACCATGTATAGTCAATATGCACTTTGACTAATTAGGAAAATATTGCTTAATACATTTTCTGAATGAAATGTAAACTGTAGCATGACTGAGGCTGTTGACCTGCAGTCTGGGTTGGTTGTTGAGGATGGTGTGGGTAGTCCTCAGAGGCTGCCAAGGCCTCCAGTGCCTGTAAGGTGGACACCAATGCGTCGTCCAGCTCCTGGGCATGGTCTCGGACTGTTCTTGTGGTAACGTTATCAATCAGTGTCACAGGAACATCTTCCTTGGGTTGTGGCTGTTTTACAGAGGCAACTCCAGGGGCAGCACTGGTCAGAGCCTTCCTTCCTCTCTTAGGATCATCCTCATCAGAACTGTTATCTCTGAAGCCAGGTGGTGGGGCAGTGATTGCAGGTGGTGGTGGCTGCAATGTTTCTTCTTTTCCATTTGCCTCCTCCTCATCCTCTTCTTCATTCCCAGGAGGTGGGAGTGCTGTGAGGTCAACAGCTCCTCCATCTCTCGAGGCACATGCACTGGAACAGTGCTTCCCAGAACTCCCACTACTGTTCGCTATTGTTGACAAACCCTCTGCTCTAAGCCTGGCTTTGCAGGAGTCACAGAAGTATCGTGATCCTTTCTTGGACTGACCCATTGTTTGGGCTCTCACTCGAGAACCTGTGTTCTTCACTGCTGGACTCTCTAAAACCACGGCGATTTCTTCTGTGCTCTCCTGTGTTGGATCTGACTTGGTGCGGGGCCTCCCAGAGGGCTCCTGAGAAATGAAATTCTCATTAATGTCCAGTTCAGCCTCAGTGTGCACATGGTGCTCCTGAAGCTGTTGGTGTTCTCGCAGGTGGACATGACACAGGCCCAGATGCTGAGGCTCTGCCGGCACCAGGGCTCTTGAGTTCCCTGACTCTCTGTGCGAGCTTTCCCTCTCCTCCATTCTTCTCCCTCCGCTTTGCAATCCGGTCGCCCCAGAGCGTGGGTGGGGGTGGTGGGAGCTTCTGTAATCTGAGGACAGAATTGTCAGAGCAGTGGAGAGTTTGAGGCGTTAAAAACTATTGGGCACAGAGAAGATCCAGATGGACAAGCAGAGGCAACAGCTGGTGGTCAGATGGTGATTATCTCAGAGATGGATGTTAAAAGCTGAAATTTGTCTGAGGTTGGAGGGTTAGATTCTGATCAAATGTGATGATGTGATGGCAAGATTCATCCTTGATGTAGACTACTAAATGATGTAGCAGATGGCAAAAGATTTGTTCACGTTTGAACACTTAAAGTTTACAATCACACCAAAAAACACAATGCATTTTACAGATTTATTGTGATCTGTCTTGAGAAAAAGAAAAATGACATTCCATTCCATGAGTCAGGACGGAGATGAGAAGAAAGACAGCAGAGGGCGCCATGAGATGGGAGTTCCAGTGGTTGCTACATTGAGTTAGCGGTGTCCATCAGTATCCATGTAGACCAAACACAAAAGGAGACTAGAAAATATTGTCTAACACACAATGTTAAAAGCTGGTGCTGCAAAAAGACATTTTCTCTTGTTCAAATAAAATTTCATGTTTGATTTCCTCAACTTTGTAATAATGTTTCTGAGTTAAATGTTTGTTCATGTGACATGCAACTTTTTACAAGAGTTATATTGCTCATCAAAAGGCAAGTTTAACAGATCTGGACCCTTACCTGGCTTGGTCAGTTGAGACTGACCAAAGCTTCGAACATAAATGGTCCGCTTAGGGTCCACAAACAGCTTGTAGTAACCAGAGATGAGGCATGCAAAGTTACTGGCATCGGGCCATTCCATCAGCAGGACCAGAGGCTGTTAGAGAGCAACAAAGACCATCAGTAACAACGGTGTCACAATTAGCTTCAAACTGCAGAGGAGGTGTTCAAAATTCTACTGAAATTGAAATGTAAATAAAATGTTTCCAGTTAGATATTTCATAGGGTAAATCTTTCAAGGTATTTCATAGCACCTTGGCCTCGTGGATTGACATCTCCACACGGGCCACTCCTTGGCTCTCCCTGTAGAGCTGGATCTTTGATACCCTGCTGAACTCAGCCAGAACTGTTGTGAGGTTATTTTTCAGGTCAATCACATGACTGATTCCATGTCGAGGACCCACCAGTAGCGTCGAGGCAGATTGTTTCTCATCCTGCATGAGAATACAGGTGGTTTCAGGATTATTTGAGCTTCACATAATCTGGGGTTCAATCCAAACCTTCACACTGATACGAACGTGAAATTAAAAGCACTTTTCTGTGCAACTGTTGTTTTCCACATGGTTTAAAAAGCATGCAAGAAAACCTAATGGGGCAAATAATGAAAAATCTTGTCGTTGAATTAATTTGTGGAAATGCACGCATGCACACGCACACACGCACACACACACGCACACACGCACACACACACACACACACACACACACACACACACACACACACACACACACACGCACACTCACGCACGCACACGCGTGCACACACACACGCACACACACACGCACTCACACGCGTGCACACACACACACATACACACACGCGCACGCACATGCGTGCACACACACACACATGCACACACAGACACGTGCACGCACGCACACGCGTGCACACATACACGCACACACACACATACACGCACACACACACATGCGTGCACACACACGCGTGCACACATACGCGTGCACACACACGCACGCGCACGCACACGCGTGCACACACACACACACACACACACACACACACACACACACACACACAATAAAATAAAAAGAGTACTACCAGTCCAACAGTTTGAAACAAGATTCCGCCAAAAGGTGGAAGGTCGTTGAGAACGCGCATGTACTGCAGTTTTCCTTGGAGGGGTGGGACCTGTCAGCACAGTAATAATGAGGAAAATCTTCTCTTTGAAAGTGAAATCCTTTTCCTCCTCTCCCTAAATGCTCCTGGGGGCACTGTTGAGCCACAGTTGTTGCTAATAAAGTCTTACGCAACAGTTAACTCTGCAGGGATGAAAGGCTCGCCCAGAGGACTTGTTATCAAGCCAACTAAACCACATGAAACAATACAGTAAAATCTCCTGCATGTAGACAGCAAAATGCTAACATGTGTAAAATAATTTCAGTTAGCAGTGTGCCAATTAGGTAGGAGATCTTTATTTATTTTTAATGCCCTATGAATATAAGAACAGTTTTAATTGATCTGGAGAATGCTTCCAAGTGGAGACACCTTGTTGCCCGTCGGCGGTGGATGTTGGTATGTTTTCAGCAGCTGCGACAGGGTTTTACACACATTCTTCTCCTTCACTGTGGGAAGCAGGGTAAGTGGAAGGAAAGGTTCGAGTCCCCACTCTTTCCTGTGAAAATCGCCGTGGATTTCAACACACAAAGGACAAAAGAGATTATAACAAAGCAGATGACGTTGGCAAGGCAAAAGGAAAAATTGAGACTAGTTTACATTCTCTACAACCCTGAGGTTATCACGGCCATCCTGAGTCTATCACAAGCACAGTGACTCTGCTCTGCTTCTGCAAAAGCAAATTACTTGCAAGGTTGAGGTTTTGAAAATAAATGTGCACATTCAGAGACAGAGATGTAATTTCACAAAGCAATGGATTCTGCAATGGATAACTACCCCGGGAAAATGGTCCTTGAGTAATTGGAATTTTTAATACTGCTGGGATTAATTATTTATCTGTCAGATATTACTGAAAAGGCTTCACTATTGAACTCATTGATATGCTGCCCAGAGTTGTTAATGGACTTAGTTAGTAGACTTACTCAACATATTTGAGAGAGATCTTCTGATTAGGCCGTGCAGAGGACACAGTGATGTAGATATGGAGCGCAGCCAGGCGTAACGTGATGTCAGACTTCCAGTCCATGCTGAAGCGCTCCTTGATGACATCATTGCGACTCTGGGACAACATGACACACTTCTTTGTTTGTGTTCAGCTGATTGCAAGTGAACTTTTTCTTGGAACAGGAAGTCCCAGAATAAATGTAATCTTCAGTTAAATGGTAAAAGAAAACAATTCCTAAACATTAAGATTGGATATGTGAAGCAGACCGCTATGTTGAGAGGCTTTTTGCTGATTCAGGATTTTCTAAACCCCAAATCAATAGAAAGGAATCAACATTTACACCATTCAAAAGAAACGTAAAACACCAACAAGCCTAGTAAAGGAATTTCAAAGCTTTGTCTCCCATGTGTTCCCTGCTGCACTTCAGAGCAACAGATGTCCAACAGTATCAGAGAGACAGAGTGGAGTCTGTTTAAATCCACCCAATAATCCTTTACCTGGATGTAGAGGTACTCAAATGCTGCAGGGTCTCTTCTCAACAGGTCTGCAGGGTCCTTGGGGAAGAAGCAGACGCGGAAGAGACACTTCATCCCTTGGAAATAGGTTCTGTGCACCACCTGAGGAGATGAAGCTTTGTCAGTCAGAGAACGTCTTCAGGCACAGGATCATTTTCCAACAGTGAGACTGACTTCTAAATGTAACGTATGTCGTTGCAGTGCCACGTATATTTGCATCCAGTGTTCAGTCAATGTTACATAAAATTGCACATACATTTATGAACTAGCACTCTTTAAATGTTATCAGTGGAAAAAAAGACAGAGCTAAAGAATTTGCATCCAAATAATGAAAAGAGCCAACAGGTTTAATTGTCCCAGTTTGTGTAATGGTGATGGGCGCTGTAGGAAACACGAGTAATACTGTGGGAGACAGATAGTCATTAAAAACACTAAATATGTTTAGAAGTCCTGGACAACCTTTTCTTTTGATTCTTGTTCTTATTAGTGTCACAGTTCTAATCCTCTCAGGCCAGGAACAGCCAGCTACATCTTCACACACTTAAAGCTTATAGCTCTTTTCCATCGCCAGGCCTGGAACGGTCCGGTCTGGTTATTTTTGGACTAGTGTGATCCGGTATGGGTCTAGAACTTTCAGGCGAGCATTTCTATCGCCATCATATCGGCAGGTGGGGTTAAACAAACTGTCATGTGCAATTTTTTAAAGTTGTGCAACTATTCCGTTGGTCCACAGAGCTAAAGACAAACACAAAATGCTTACTACAGCTTCCACATGTGACTCCAGAGTGCAGTCGCTAAGTCCAGAAGCCTGCTTTGCTGCCTCAGCTATGAAAAGCATCCAGCGTGTCATAGCTTCTCCGTGTATTTCTCCTATCCGAAAATAAAATCTGCTCCGGGTGTTTCTGCCCTTAACTATTAACTATTTGGGGCTTTAATTCCTTCATCTTGGCCCGACACTGTGCCGACGTACGCTCTGATCCTTCGGCTGCCATCCATGAGAAAAAGCTACCGATCCGTCTGGCTGCTCCTGTGCACGCTCACGATGACGATGAGAAATGTGTGAAACTCTGAAGGTCACCACTTGCTGACATTTTTTCACATTTCTGTACAGCTAGCGAAAATACAAACAACCGAACTCCGTTCACTTTGCTTGTTGCAAGTAGTGACGTATTTCAGTCAACCAATCGAAACAGAAACATTTGTGACCCGATCCTTCCCATCCCATGCCAGTTTGGGCGATGGAAAAGGCCTATTAGACATAGAGTGGTCCGCACCTTCTTAGTGACTGCAGCAGGAAGGAGGGGCTGCGGTATGGGAAGTGGGCTGCCTGTGAATGCTTTGGAGATCAGGGTTGTCCATAGCAGCTACTTTTTGAAACCCATAAGAATGTGTACTTTAATGTTGGAATTTCCTAAAAACGCTAAATGCCAGAAAAATACGCCAGATTTGCCACTTATTTGAAAGAGTCACTTAATAAGTGTGAAAACTTGATAAATGCATATTGGCAAAACTGATATGAGCCAAATTCAGTGAAATTAAAATAATTATAGAACACAGAACAAAAATAGAAACATTGAAAAAGTTCACATCAAATTGGTTGATAACAAAGTTAAAGGAGATCAACAAATCTGTCAACAGGCACAGTGTTTACCCATCTAACCAATCTGGGTTTAAGTGATATAATATTCACCAGATTCGGGTCAACTTAAAAACTTGCTAAACTGAATGCGATCCTTTGAACTGGGGTGGTCAAACATTAAAACATCTAAAAGGGTGGTGCTTAATTCTGGCCCTGCAGGACCACCATCCTGCATGCTTTAGATGTCTCTCTGCACCAACACACACGCTTCAATTGTTAAAGTGCCCTTTCAGCATCCTGTCTACTAATCACCCACTGATTCAGTCAGTTTCCTGGAATAAGAAGAAAACAAATATATAACATGCAGGACAGCAGCCCTCAAGGACCAGTTTTAGATGCTGCTGATCTGAAAGAGGCAGGACAGAAGGTCCAGACCACTCACTGGGAAACACAACTGGTTAAACCTTGAATGTGTAAAAATATTGAAGCGAAACTTTTCTCTTCCAAGGCAAATAAATCATTGCCTGTTTATGCAGCCTCTGTGTGTTCTGCTTGCATATCAAACCTTCCATAAAGTGTTTTCAGGCTGACAAGGTGGAAAGCATCAGCGGCCTCCACTTGTAATTGAACTTTTATAGAGTTTTATGATCTGAATCTCCTGGCACAAAAACGGTTTCGTCTTCAGTTTGGTTGGTTTTTGCATATGGCTCTCTAGACCTGCAGTAATTTGTGCTGATGATGGCGTGAGTCTCATCTTCACATCTTCTGCATTCGCTCCAGATTGTTGGGTTCTTACATGCGTCAGTGGCTGGTTCTCCTGCAACAGATGCAACTTCTGATTCTGGTCCAGACCACCTGCCTCCAGCACCAAAGCAAAGTGTTCAATGTAGCGCAGTGAGAGGCGGTCCTGCAGGGAGGAGATCACATCCTGGAAGGAAACAGACAGAAGCAGTTTAGAGACTTCTATACATTTCCACAGATGAAACACATTTACAACTACCAGACAGAAATGCATTGATTGCGCCTGAAAACCATCCATGTTTGCTGCAATAGGGTTTGTCAAACCATAATCTTTTGAAACATATTTTCCATTTGGGCTCTTTTCTTTTGGTATTACGCTGATTACTTTGAGCCATGTGGAGCTTTTATACAGAATCTTTAGTGAGGGGATCTATTTCAGGAAAATACTGTCTGTGTCGGAACGTGTAGAGCAAAATATTGCTCTTCTGCTGATCATAGCTATCTAGGAATGATGAGATTTTCTCATACCTTCATTCCAAAATGCACAGAGAGCACTATCTAAAGAAAAACTCCTTTCTTATCACCTCTAAGAGAAGGCTTTGCCTCTGGACAAAGTTTTCTAACTTCTCCTGTCCTTGGAACATTGCAGAAAGATGGGCTGTCAAACAGCTTTCATTGCCATCATATGTCACTGTAATGTTGCTGTTGATGTCAGCATGGAGGCTCGTTAAGAGCGCTTGCTAAGGATTAGCTTTTCATTATGAATCTAAAACAGCTCTCTGCAAGAAACAAGGATAAGTCATTAAAAGAGAATTGACATGTGCGGTTTTTGTTTAATGACACCGCAGAAATACACACAATCAAGCGACGGACTCGCTGATAGGAGCTTCTTTACTTGACAAGAGGGTCTAATGGGCGCACCGCCGGGTTTCCTATTGTGGCATTGATTTAATCTGTGGCACTGTATTATTGATCTGAGCTTTCTTATTGTGCCCAAATTCCATTTAATTAGTCTGACAGGAGAAAGCATAGTCTATCTTTCCTTAAAAGTGCCTGAGCGTCTCCCTCCACCCCTCATGAGCAGGAGGGAGATTTGTGAAATCTAACAGAGTCCATTTTAATAACTCTAATAGGAGACATCAGCCTGATCTTAGGGGACTGACACTGAGTCAGAAATGGCATCTTCCACTCCATCCGTTGCTGTCTTCATGACCTTATTGGCATTAAAGATTTTTTTTGTGAACCAGAAACTGAGGCCTAGTCCACACGTAGCCGGGGTTTTTTAAAAACGAATATCCGCCCCTCCAAAAACTTGCATCCACACCACTGCGTTTTAAAAAAACTCTGTCCACACGTACCCGGATAAATACGTTGTTAAGGGTATGCCAGACCTGTAGGCGGCAGTACTTCCCCCGTTCTTAACCTCGTCCTTCATCTGTGGTCTTCCGCAAGGAGCAGTAATTCCGCTTGCAAAAACAAACAAGCAAAAAGCGCTTGGACAATTGATAAAGCGAGCGCAGCTCTGAGGGCATCCATGCTGTCGGCTAGTGTAAACACAGGTCGCACACGTGATGTCAGCATTTTTTTGTCGCGGAAAGTGACGTTGCGGACCTTAAAACTCCGGTTGTGTCTGTCCACAAGCAGACACCCAAAACGGAGAAAACGCAGATCTTCATTTTGGCCGGAGTTTTTAAAAAGATCCGTTTTCATGTGAAAAAACTCTGTTTTCGTGTGGATGACAGGCCAAAACGTAGAAAAATATCTACGTTTTGGCAGATCCCCAGCTACGTGTGGACAGGGCCTGAAAAGATAATAAAAAGTTGTTTTTCTTTGTCTTTTCTCAAAATTGTTAGGTAGCCCAACAGGTCTATTTCATTTATTATTTCCATATGCCAAACCTTAATGTGTCCTTTTGGGCTCATAATAGATGTAGAGGGATTTTGCTTTAAAATATTAGAAATCAATGCAGATTAATTTATGTCAAAGAAAAAAAACACCATTGTTTTATTTATGGAGTTTTTCAACATGGTGAGACCACAATCATTGATTCCTTTGTCAAAATGACTGGTGGTGCTTGAAGCTGTAAACACACTTTTGATGCAGGATTTCCAGAGCCTTTATTCGACCATGCATTTCTTATTTCCAGATACATAACTCCAATGACAATTTCTCTTTATTTTCGTCTTAAACACCCCCTGATGAATGAGTTTGATCATATAAAAGCCAAATGTTGGGTTATGATGATCCATGGGAAGCTTAATTTGTCTCACCCTCATCTAAAGTGAATGAGAGTCAGAGAATGGCTTTCTTTTTCTTCTTGCTGCATTAATAATCAAGTTGTCAATTTATTTTAAACTTTATTGCAACACAAGACCAATATTAACAAACACAAAACTGGCGTGTACTAGATTATAATGTCAATTTCATAAATTTAGTTCTAGAAGAAAGATTAGTCAGCTTTACTGCTAGAAAGTGTATGTAAAGAAGAATTTATATCAGTTTAGTTGAGCAACTTACTCTGATTATACAAGATCAAGATGGTTCACGAGACTCGAGCCAGGAGTTAAAGTCAAGTCCAGACTCTTGAAGAAAGTGTCTGTCTAATGGCCTGGGTGGGCAATCCTGGTCCTCAAGGGCTGCTAACCTACACGTTTTAGTGTTTTCCCTGTTTCAACACACCTGATTTCAATCAGCAGGTGATTAACCAGCTTCTGCAGACCTCGATAAGCTGGGAATCAACTGTGTTGGAACTGGGAAACAACAAAACGATGCAGGATACCGGCCCTCGAGGACTGGAGTTACCCACCCCAGGTCTAACCCCTACTTCCCACTGGAAGCATCAGCAGCGTGGAATGGCACTGGAATATCACTGCTTCAAATAGAATCCATTATAGTCTATGGGGGTGATTCAAACCAGCTGCAACGCGAAAAATTACAGGCGTGTCCCAGAAGCGACTCACCACACCGCATGGACGTAATTTTGGGGGGGGACAGGGGGGACATGTCCCCCCCACTTTTTCCAAAATCAAGTTTTGACCCCTGCACTTTTTACCATCCAAAAACAATATTACGCTATATTAAATTGACACTGGTTGAGCTCTAAGACCAAGCGGAAAACAGCCGTTTGTGTTGAAACCTGTTTCCCATTAGAGCATTCTGTAAAGACCCCCCCCCCCCCCCCCCCCCCCCACCGTGTCCCCCCCACTTCTCAAGTGAAAATTACGTCCATGCCGCTAAAGATGGGATCGGGATCTATTTTTGCCGTCCGGCCATGGGACATGTCAATTTCAACAGTTTACATCTGGCTAGGCAGGAAAAACCTCCTGTAATTTTCAAAATAAAAGATTATTGCAGCAATGCGATTTTATACATAGATTATGTCAAAACATGTGACTTAACAGCTCATTTACTCCCTGCATCGCTCCAGAAGTGCAAATAAGTGTTTTCATGGCTTTAATCCTACCCTATCCTCCTAGCAGTGGAGAGGAAAAACATATGACTTTAAGTTGGCTCTGTTATCCACTCTGCTGTGGTCTGTTGGGGTGCAGGCAGCTCTGACCGAGACAGGAAATGGATGCGTACCACAGAATTTTAAGGTTGCTGTAATCAAACCTTTACTCAAAAAACCTTCTCTGGATTCAGATGACCCAATGAATTATAGACCAATATCTAACCTTCCATTTTTATCCAAGGTCCTGGAGAAGATAGTGGCCAACCAAGTATGTCAGCATTCAAACACTAATGATCTGTTTGAGGAATTTCAGTCTGGTTTTAGAGAGTATCACAGCACTGAAACAGCGTTAGTGAGAGTTACAAATGATATTCTCATGGCCTCAGATAAGAATCTTGTGTCTGTTCTAGTCTTGTTAGATCTCAGTGCTGCCTTTGACACAGTTTATCACAATGTTCTTTTAGAAAGACTTGAACATGTTGTAGGGATCAAAGGAGCAGAGTTAGGCTGGTTTAAATCCTACCTGTCTGATAGATTTCATTTTGTAAATGTACATGACAAGTCTTCATACTCCAGGGTTACTTGTGTAGTTCCACAGGGTTCAGTGCTTGGACAAATTATTTTTACTATTTATATGCTCCCAGTTGGTAAAATCATTAGACAGCATGGGATAAACTTCACCTGTTATGCTGACGATACTCAGTTATATTTATCCATTAACCCTGATGAACCTAATTGGTTAGTTAGATTACAGGCTTGTCTTGAGGACATAAAAAATTGGCTGACTCAAAACGTTCTGCTTTTAAATCAAGACAAGACTGGTGTTGGTGTATTCGTGTGTCTGCTCTGTTTTCTCGATCCACAGTGAGTCGTGGAGGATGGCTGCTTATATTGAGCCAGGATCCTCTGGAGGTTTCTTCCTGTTAAAAGGGAGTTTTCCTCTCCATTGTCGCTGCATGCTTGCTTAGTATGAGGATTGCTGTAAAGCTACTGACACTAGTCAGTGACTCGATGCAGTTTGCTAGGTTCCTTATATGGTAAACTTTTTTCTGATTGGCTTAATGAACTGACCTGTATTGGAATGTTTGCTATGTGAAGTGCCTTGAGACGACTCTTGTCGTGATTTGGCGCTTTATAAATAAACTTGAATTGAATTGAAGAGACTGAACAAGCTAGTTCACAATGCTAGCTCAGTTGTGAGCTGCCCACCGGATTCAGTTAAGGAGATGTGTGAAAAAAAGATGCTGGGGAAGATGACCTTCATCCTAAAAAACCCCTCCCAGTGTTCCACTGTGGAGGCCATGGACAGCTCCTTCAGAGGCAGACTGAGACATTACAGATGTAAAACAGAATTCTACCGTAGGTCTTTCATCCCCCTCTGCAGTAAGAGAGTATATAACTCATCAGTTTAAACTGTACGGCTATTATCCTGTTACACAATAACACCAATGCAATATTCAGTATGTGTTCAATACTTGTTCAATACCAGATTTACATAGTATGTCCGTGTCTATTGCAGTATGCTGCATAGTGTTGGAACCCACATTTTTTCTTTTTTTATTTGTGTTTTTTAGCGGTTGAAAGTTACAAATCTAGACTACTGCCAATGTATATATACTTGTACCTTTGTTATTATTTTACTTCAAATAATTCTCTTAAGTATTTGTGCTGCTGTAACAAGGGAATTACCCTACTGTGAGATCAGTAAGGTCTATTGTATTGTATTGTATTGTATTGTATTCTATTCTATTCTATTCTATTCTATTCTATTCTATAGTGATAGTAAAAGTGATCTCTTTCTTTTTGGTGTAATGGCGGATGGCATAAACAAACCGTGACTTTTAAAGTCTCAAGGGATTTTGTGACCTTGCGAGTCCAACGAGGAGCACAGCAGAGAAGCTGCTCTGCGTCTGAGATTCTCCCGATCTGTACTGGCGTGCATCAAAGCTCGCAAGTAAACCGTTCTGCTGCCATTCCACTCCGCAGATGCCTCCAGCGTGAAGTAGGGGTAAAGCCTAATTTGTAATTCTCCGTCAGCTCCACCAGGGAGAGAAACGCGAGCACGGACGGAGACAATTTGACCTCATACTTCTCCATCTCCTGGGGACTGTTGCAAAGGAATTCATAGCTCAACTCTGTCCATCCTTGTGAGCCTACTGGAGATCCCTCGAACAGATGGATAATGGTGTTGCGTGCGTCCGTTCCAACGGAGAAGCATAAATTAGGCTTAAGTCAGGTCATGAGTCTTTGTTTTTAAGACTTAAGGACTTTAAAAATGTGTCTCAAACTGGAGCTCACATCTCCTCTGCTTTCATCTATACACTAATATGAAACATTTGAGTCACATTTTCAACCAAAAGTTGTCTTTGTCTCCTGAGTAAATGATAAATGACCCGCACTTGTATAGTTCAGAGTCAGAGGATGCCACAGTGCTTTACACTGCAGTGTATCATTCATCCATTCACACACACATTTGCACCGCTGATGGTGGTAAGCTGTAGCCACAGATTTCCTGGGGCACCCTGATAGAAGTGAGTCTTCTGAGCACAGGTGGCGTCAGTTCCAAGGACACAACGGCAGAATTCTCAGTCGGGATCGAACTTGCAACTTTCCGATTACTGGACAACCTGCTCTACCTCCAGCTACTGCTACCTCTAGACCTGTGCTGGAAGGCCCTGAAGAAATTGCATGCACTGTTTATTGCAGATTATTGTACTAAACCTTATTTTTCCTCATTTTCATTTGATGTTTAAAACCCTTTATTCAGCAATGTAAACAAAACCTGAGAAATCATCATTTCTGGTGTGAAATCATAGATCAGTGCTGACAACCGCCACGTTACTGCTGGAACTCTGCTGTTTCACACATACCCTGACAGTGGTGCGGCTATCAAACGTGAAAGACTTAATCTGTCCATTCTCCAGGAACACCTTCAACACATTTGGTATGAGCAGCAAGGAGTCGTCCTTAAGCATTGTCTGAAAGAGATCGAAGGAGAAAGCAGCCTTGTTTAGATTTAAAAGACTGCGATAATGTGTTTAAAAAAAGGTGAGCAGGAATAAACACAATTAAGTGTCACAGCTGGCCTGACTAAACAGTGAAAATCAATAGAAAGTAGAGGAGAAAAACACAAAACTAAAGATGTTTGGTGTGAACAAGTAAAAAGAAAGAGAAACCTGAGAAGGGCACACACTGTGCCTTAGCATGGCCACCCCATTCATTGTATCATGATCAAAGAAGGGATTATTCACTTTCTCTGGTCTACCCATTTAATATTTTTGCCATGCAAAGAAAATGTGATGGTGGGATTTAAAGCATTCCTCACAGAATTGAGTGAGAGTAGAAGCTGGATCTGAGATTATTGCCTTCACTCAAAACACCCTTAAAGAGAAAAGTTCTGTCTGGCTTGGATGAGATGAAACAGGAACTTTCCTCTCACAGCCACCCTTTTTTAATCTGGCCTGGGGATTTTTAAGAAAATGACTCGGTTTTCAAAATGTGTGATCAAAAGAAAAGCGGCCATCCTGATGTAATAAGACAGAGTTGCATGTCAATGCAATAAGGGGCAATGATGCAGCAGCAGCCTCTTACAGCCATCATCTGAAACGCTTGGCCTGGTCCAATTTAATCTGAGTTTATGATGAGATTTAAGGAAAAAACTGAAACAAGGGAGTAGATTTGAATGCAGGAACATATCTACAAAGATTTATTTATTTGAAACAGAGAGCTGAGTCCACAGCAGACGCCCAGCAGACTGCTTTAGAGAACTTAAGATGTGGAAGCGCCCAACAAGCTGTGCTTATTTAGCAACTGGAAATGACTAAAGTCGGTGTGAAAATGAACTGCTCTTGTTTTTGTTGTGTTTTCTGATCAAATCTTTAATCTCTCTGTGGTCACATGACACCATTTAGGTACATGCAGGTACTTTCATGCCCGTGTCAGCAGGATGTGAGACGAGCTGAACTTACGGAGTCTGGGTCGCTGATAGACACTTGCTCTGAAAAGCGCACTTTAGGCGGATTTGTTCGCAGGCGGGCCTTCTTGGCTGCACTTATGAAGGCAGATTTGGGTGACTGAGGATGATAAGAAAGAAAACGAGTAATTATGTGAAATAACATCAGCTGAAGGTGAAATTTAGGATCCAGTATAAACCAGTGAGAATCAAGTGTTGGGAGCACTGCCCAAGGCACAGTGGACTGAAACCTTGACGTGGATGAAGGGTGTAGTAACTTAACTCAAGAGTAACTTGTTTCAAGCACAGCAAAGAGCACATTGTTTCATAAGTAAGATGCTAACACCAGCATTGTCAGCTGCATTCTTGTTACAGAAGACAAAATAAACATATCAGAATTAAGATGTTTCTCCTGTTTGAATGTGAGGTAGCATTTGCATTAATCACAGCTAGCTGATACAGGAAGTTAGAAAAATAACAGTTTAAAATTTACATGAACAATTCCTTCAAAAGCAAGACACAGGGACTGTCTGATCATTTATTTTCAACGTTTCCATGTCATTCTTTATCATTTTAATCCATCTTTGTTTTTCGCCCTAGGTCTATTTTTGTATAAACACATTGAGGGACACGTTGACATGGCCCAAGGGCCTTTTCTGGCCCCGAGGCCTTTCCTTGCCCATGTGTGCACTAAATGCCAGAATAGCAGTGACCTTTCTTGTGCGTTTGGTTAGAAAGCTGCCAGATGACAAATGCAAGAAGGTTTTTTTATGCTTATCATTAGCAAACATTTCAAATATGCAGAACTGTTTGAGAATAGTTTAGATGTATGCTCAAGTTCATCTGAGCTTCTTAAATACACATTTCTTATATTCATAGTTCTTTTTCATGCAACAAACAAACTAATATCTTGTTATCCATCTAGATAAATGGTCCATTTTTATCGTCTCCGTAAGGACAAATCCATCCACATTCAACCTTTGTCTAATGAAGTCTCACGTGGGTGTTTATGTGCCCACTTGGAGTTGTTCTGAGGGGCTACCAGAAAAGAAATAAACCCGTTGTGTGCAGCAAGGTCATGAATATTAATGCATCCCTTCAGTCTGTTAGTGTGGAACCGAAAACTGCACAATATTTTTTACAGTATGATTCAAACCGGAAAGAAAGAGTCATAAGTGATGGCGACTGAGAGATGTCTTGAGGGAGAAGAGGATGAAAGAGGACGAGCGCCCCACTACCTGATGGGGCTGCAGCACAGTGAGAACTATAGTGTCTTTACAGCGTCTGTGGAGAGACATGGGAGAATGGAGTGGGTTAGACAATGCCACAGACACCACAAAGCTTACAGAGGAGTTTATCTCTGCTGGTTTCTTGCTCTCTTTAGCTGCAGAAAAGGACTGACTCATCCTCAGGTTTGTGCTGATGTAACACATCACCTGCAGTAAGAAACACTTTGTTCCTTTTCATCCAAACACTTTACCTGAGTCTTTTATTGTGTTCCCATTTGCTGCTAGTCACCTGGCCTGTGGGACTCCTTCCTATCCCCTCCCCTCTTCCCTCCCTCCCTCCTGGGACAATAAAGGATGTTACCTTACAAGGTCTATGACTCTCTCTCGGGGCGCGTCGCTCACCGTCTCTTCGTTAATGGCCAAGATCTGGTCTCCAGGGAGCAGATTTCCAAAGGAGGGGCCGTCTAAGCAAAACGTGCACACATATAGAGTGAAAGTGAATTTAAAGCCACGGTGCTTCATCTACTCTGCTGTCATCTTCCTCACATACATGTGCACTAACCAGCAGAGACGGAGCGTACAATGACAGGCCTCTGGCTGCCTGCTATGAAGCCAAAGCCTTGAAGAGGGTGGCGCTTGATGGTGACCTGTCGAGCTGAGGGAGGACTTAGGGCACCATTGTCCATACCATCCTGGCTCTCCTCTAACATGTCAGGGCTGTAGGTTACACACAAATGCATGACTGATCAACACCATGGCTCGGAGTATATGTTAGGAATAGCTCATACTGCATCAAATTGTAGCTTTATATTGGCACATCTTTCTTTTGCTTTGCTTTTTAAAATTAAAATAAAAAAACTTTTTTAAGGTCGGTTGGCTGTGTTGGCCATTTTAAAAGGAACTGACTCTGAAAGGTGAATGTAGAGGGGCATCCGGTGATAGTTTAATTAAGATCAGTACAGCCACTCATGAGATATTTAGCAAACAAAGACAGCCAACTCCAAAGGCTAACGATTGGCATGACTCTTCATCACTAAAACACCCAATTTTAGCTCAAAATCTGCAACTTAAAGTAGCTATCTGGAGCTTTCCCCTGTCAGGAATAATGTATGATTTTTCAGAAATCCATAATAGTGACTGTCTTATCATGTACTGTGATATAATAAAGGAAATGCCTTTTTTTGGTGCTAAGCCCCACCCCCTGTCCCGGAGAGCTCCATCCAATAAAAACCTTCTTGCCCATCATTTGCTTTTTAGCATAGGGGAATAAGAACCAGATATGTAACGATAGGGAAAACCAGTATTTATGAGTATTATTTACCTGCCACATGCATTCGTTTGTCCATCCTGGACCTTTGCCATTCCCTGAGAGGAGGGACCAACATGGGACAGGATTGCGTTGCAAGGGCTGATCTCTGTTCTGCAATCATTCACCTGCTCGACAGACACAAACCAAGAGGAAAAGGACAACAAATGAGTGACATGTGCTGCTTCCTTCTCTGTGAAAGTTCATTCAGGCTTCCTGCACGTTGGTGTTCTCTTGCTAAGGTACACGAGGAAAGCACAAATCGAGCACTGACACAGAAACACATTTACTAGAAGTATCTGATAGTTGAGACATGCCTGCAGAAAACTGCAATCATGAGAACTTCCAACAAAATCCACACAGAGGAACTAACACATTACGGTTTCTGATTCGGACAGTTTCTGCCCGCGTGGACACGGATGCTGTGAACCACACATGCTCTTTTACAGATGCCTGTGTGGGTGGCCGTGAAAGCAAGACCACTGATCGAGAGCAAGTGTGTGTGTGGCATGTGAGTGGCTGTGTTTTGCAGCAGAAAAAATAAAATCATTGTCAGCCAGATATCTGATGATTGCTGACTCAAGATTAGACACTAATTGTAATGCTAATGGTGCAGATGGGCTAAAAAGAAAGAAATAGGTAAAGAGCGCGGTACTACGATTGGAGATTATTATTCAGCGTTACGTCGTTGAGAGCAAACACTTTTCTGAGGGCCACAGACGGCCAGCAGAGAGGGAGGGATAGGCACAATAGTCAATACTTTAGATTCATATTCGTGTCAGCTGTTGAGCCTGATAACAGAGGCTTGAAGGGGAACATGGCTCATTTATTATTCCACTGATGCATTACTGATCTCTACCTTGTGTCAGAGTATCAGAAGAGCTTTGATGTATCGTAGCTAGGTGTCATTCTGAGCTCAGTCTCTAACTAAAAATCCATTACATCACACACACACTTTGAATTTCAATGCAACAAATAATAAATCAACCACATCTGAATACAACTTTTATTATGACTTCCAGTGAGATGAGGCACCTATATCAAAGGTGCATACTGGCAAACAAATGAAGCCGTTGTTGTTTGTTCAGCCTCTAAAAATGAATGAACATGTTTTTGATTCTTCCAATGGTTTCTGGCAGAGCTCATTTTCCCCATTCCTCCTCCTCTCTGTCTGTTCTAATGTCATTCTTTCCCCACCATCTGTTACTGGAAGCAAACCCACCCTGTTGCATCCCACCGAGCGTTTGGTGTGTGAGGCATGAACAACTGGTGCGTGTGATTTTGGAGACACCTCAGTACCTCTTTAGTAACAGAAAAAAGTCTGATTTTAGAATTTAGTGAGGCGGCAGCGACCTCACAGAGATGTAAGCAGATTCAGAACGAACCTGAACCTGAACACTGACACCAACACGACTGGTAATTGCCTGTTTATTGCGGGGTTGTTGACACAAGTGCAGAATAGCTTTAAAATCCCCAGAATAATTTAGTTTCAGCATTTATTACAAGTGATGAGGTGGAACGTAACAGATGGGAGAGTAATGAAAGTAGCCGGCGGACACGGTGGGCTACGCGTCTGCAAAGATAAACAGCTACTCAGCACAGCGGCCAACCTTTCGCTGCGAGAAGACACAGAGGAATTCTGTCGAGAAATGAGCCCCAAGGGCATCGGCAGGCCTTTTCCGTTGCTATGACTACAGCCTGAGCATGCTCGCCGAGGCTCCAGAGGATGGGTTGGTGGGTGGATGAGAACAGTGATGTGGCCACTAAGAGTGAGACGGTCGAGCAGACGCTCTTTGATGGCCTCGCAGCAGCCGTGGGCTGAAGCCAACATTTAAACAGGCAGCAGAGGTCGTGGCTTCACACACCTGCTCTGTTCCCGTGTCAGGGTCTGCAGCAGCTCACGAGCCTCAGGGCATGGAGCACTGACCTTTAACTTTTTACCCCTCTGGGCCTAAACGCTCACAGCTTCATCTGTGATACTGAAGTTCACTCAACGGGAACTGCAACCAAGCGTGGACCAACGTTCAGTGCAGCTCACAGGAGAAGCAATGCAATCTTAATTAGAATCCTCATTCATTTATGGCATTTTAAAGGTTTGCTACTATAATTAATATCATGTTTATCTGAAGGGCAACAAAATGTCAGACGTAAACAAACAAGGCAGCGTCATAACAGAGCTGGGAAGGAGTGAAAGAAGGAACTAAGGCTCTGCATGGGATTATCAACAGACCTGCCAGTGTCACAAATCGTCCTTTAAAAATGTGATGCCACACATTGTATTTGTATTATACCACTGATGAAAACATGTTTATGCTGCATCAACATTTATTTATTATTTAAAAATATTTACCTTGATATATCAAAAACATGCAAAACATGTTCACCAATGTGCATTTTCTGTTTTATCAGCTTTTCTTTTCAGTACTGTCAAAATGACCCATTTGTGTTTCCTTGTTAAAAAGCTTCCTCATGGTCTGAACTTTCTGCATCATTCCAGACCAAGTCAGCAAACAAGACTCATGTACCAACACGGGTGAAGGCATTTCCTTTGAGGCAGCTACAGCCCATCATGAAGACAGATGTTCAAAGGCCCGGCCTCATGGTGGTGTGATATCCCTTATACCCACTGGAGATGACCAGCCAGACATAGGGTCAAAGCTGCGGGTTGAGACAACTGACGTGGTTAGGATCACACAGAGTAAACCAGCTCTGTTTCTGGTGGACAAACACATGCTTTGACTAGACGGATCCATCTTAGTACAAAGACTTGTAATGGACCAATGTGCTCCAAAAACATTTGTACATAAATTCAATTTAGACTCACTACATGAAACAAATGTTTCCTTCCATCTGAGGCACCTTCTATGGTACATCATGGAGAGAATGGAGACCCTGCACTTCTGGAAGGCTGCAGGAATGATATCTTAAAAGTTTACCTCTGAAACACTAGCTTCTCTGGGAAGGGAATTTGGTCAGAAAAGATAAATATCAATTCCCAAAGGTCCTATTCCCTGACAAGTTAGCAGAAGGCTAATGATACTGAGATGGAAAGTAGAGACATACATGTGTTTTTAAACCTAGTCACAAGACTTTAGTGATTTCGGCAGCAATGCTGAAGATCACTGCTCTTAATTGTCCTGAAGGGTGTTCTGTGGGCCATGAGGGCATAAACAATTTGAAGGACAATGAATCGGCCCACGTCATCATCGACTTTGCAAACCATGCTGCTCTACAGGAACCAAAACTCGTTAATGGTGGTTTGATTTGTCCTGAATGGTAACATTTTTCTCAAAACTGGGGAAGAGTGAGATCTGTTGATGATGGCTCAGTCCATCCATTACTATAGGGATCAGTTGGTGGTCTGAATACGTCCTTTTTAATATACAAACATTTCATAACAAATGATTCCAAAATGGTTTAAAGTAACAACAAACAGTTCTACCAACATTAAGCTAGAGCTTTAACATTGATCTCAATGATTGATGTGTTAGGAACTTGACCATTTCCATATTGGACACCGCCCTTTGCTGACCAGAAACCACAGCAGATATTTTGGTGGAGCACGTAGGGGTGCTCTTAACCTGCTTTACCGCTGTTAGCTGTAATGCTAGTGGTTAAGCATTTTGCCAATAAGAAGAAAAAAAAAAGAAGTTTGCTTTTTCTGTTGGCATCATCATCACCCGTTTGAACTGGTTATGTTGGTGTGTTTCTGTTGTGTTTTTTCATTGTTGCTTTTATTTTTTCTGTACTGCCTTTGGTCCATTTGGTGCCAACTCAACACATGAACAATAGAACATAGAAAGGAGTGTGAGAAGGAAACAAGTCAAAGACACACAAGAGCAGCAAGACAAGAAGCAGAAAGCACAATAAAGAAATCAGCCATAACAGACCACTGCACAAGGGAAAACCATATAATGGACCGGGACAACACAAGGATCATAAACCCCGAACAACAAAAATATAAAAGATGGATTAAGAAAGCCGTAGAAATACAGAGATGTGGGCACGGAACCATGAACAGAGACGATGGGGTCTACACCTTAGATCATGAATGGAACTGTGTCATCGGTGAGGAGAGCGCAGGCAGCAGAGGGCGACACAGTTTGGATAAATAGAGAAGGAAGTGATGCCGCTATTAGCGGCTAGCTCTGAAGATCGCAGGAGTGATCGAAACTGTCAGCAAGGTAAAAAAAAAACTTTTCTGTGTTTAAAATATAACTTAAAAAGCACTCAGAAGAATAACAGAATGAATATACAAAAGATATTACTGAACATTTACTAAAATATTACTGAACCAACAATGTTTGGTGTACATACAGCATGATCAGAATAAAGTACAAATGCCTAACAAGCTTCTGGTTTAAAAAAGCTCAGGCCATCAGTCACTCTAAGCCCCGATCATCACATATAC